ATTAATTTAGGTCATTTATTTTCTTGATATAAACATGGATATTTTGTACACAAATATTTGTAGACCTTCTAAAACTGTAATACTTACCCATAATATGCTTTACTTATGTGGCAGTGTTAATGTTTCAGATTCCAACACTTTTTGACATTAGCAGTGATGTATGGTTAAGTATCATTATAATTTTTTCTTGACCATTAAGTTCAGCTAACATTGTTTTGGGGAATTGGTTGTCCACCACACCCTGGGCTGTGGTGCAAGAAAAAATTGTTAAACCCTGCCCAAGTTGAAATCACAAGTAAACATATTGTCTCACTTGCCTGCCTCCAATTATTGTCACTCTGTCACTCCAATTCAACAGAGGTGAAAAGGATTTCAACTGTGGTGCTCAAAGCATTGACAAATAATTAAATTAACGGCATTGTGTCTTTCTAGAAACAACCTGGACAGTGTGGCTTCATCAGTTCAAGTCTTAAAAAATATATCAGGTGATATAGTCTAAGGATAAATTTGTGAAGAAAAAAACTGGATATACATACCTTGGTTTGGGCAAATCAAATAACCTGTTATAGTTGCCTTCTTTAATTAACTGTGATTTAGTTGAGTATTAAAACAATAGTAATAGTAAATAGAAAAACTATAATAAAACGAGTCACAAATCCTTAAATATGAAAAGTTTACAACAAAATAGAATAGTTTAAAAGAGAGTTTTTTATGCCTTTTTAGTGCCAGATTTCTTATTGAATTTGAGACTTTACAGGACCATGTATGGCTATTTATTTGTCTAAAAAATCTCTTTACTATATACAATAAAACTGCCAAAATGTTCGCTAGATTTGTTTGTCCCTACATTGTCATATCTTTTTTTCCAGCAATACATTTGTGATCATTCATTGATAACCCTGATTATTGTTTAATCTTACCCAACATTAAAGATGCAGCAACTGCAGTGAGTCCAAATAGGATCTTTGCCATCTTGATGTGTCGGTTTTGTTCTTGGTTTCGGCTCAGAGACAAAAAAATACTTCCACCCAGGTGACTGGATGCTGTGTGTAGTCAAAACTGATGAGCCTGTTTGGTGAGGACAGACTTAGTAGTGAGACAGGTCACGGGAGAGGACGAAATGTGGTTTACAGGCCTATTGTCTTCTCCTTCACCTTGGGGGAAGAGTTGCCGAAGGAAAGAATGTCAAAGATGATTGACGCATGGTGGAAGATCTGGTACCCATTCCATCGGTGCCCCGATCTCGCAGTCCAGGCAGAGTCCAGGCTAACTGAGCTTTCTAGATAATCTTGAGAAGCTGCAGAGCTGCAGTAACATACACTGTACATTTCCTGCTAAACTGAGGCTTATGGTTGACCCTTTTCTCTCTGCTCGCCTGCCATTCACCATTCTTGTACAGAGGCTACTATTAAAAAACAATATAATATTCATTGTGTGGTTCATCAGTGGTGATAAATGATCCGAACGTCACGCGAGGTGGCTGGGGCTGGGGCTGCATCTCTTCAGCAAGTGTTCCTCTTCTTCCACTGCACACATACACACACACACACACACACACACACACACACACACACACACACACACACACACACACACACATACAGATGTGCGCACTCACCCCCTACCTTGAGGGTTAGGGTTTTTCTATTTACATATTTATTTACAGCATGATATGTTGAAATGTATATTATAGTAGGCTGTATATTAACTTATTGGAAGAAAACTGGTAGTTCTATGTAAAATCAGATGTTGAGCACCCCCATATCACCAAACTAGCATGATCCTCGTTTTGCTGCAAAGCTTCAACTTTACAAGATAAGCATCCACATCTGTCCACTAGAGAGGTTCTATCCACCTGGAGGAATAACTAATATAAATTTGCTTACGTACAATATTATGACAACAAATAAAAAGTTAAAATATAATGTTTAATATTCATAGGTTACACTTATGTCTGCCAACAGATTGTTTATAGTAGGCCTAATTGTAACATTTCAACAGCTTATTGATATTCAACAATTCAACAAATTCACAAATAGAACCATTTTCTGTCTTGTTAAGATTTGATTAGGGCCAATATTAGTGTAGTCATTCTAATTTCAGATAATAGTATCATACATAGCTCACCACTATTATAATATTAATTCCAGCTACAGCACTTAAGTCTTGCAGGCCTTTATGTAGTTTTGAAATGGTTCTGAGACCTTGGTCTGCGCTGTATGCTGAAATAAAAACTTTCAGTACTGCAAACCCAGAACTTGATCTGTCCAGATCTTCTCAACATAGTGTCTCAACTGTAAAAATCTAAAGAAGTCATTTCTGGCCAAGCCATATTGGTCTATCAGACCTTGGAAGCATCTAAGTGAGGATTTCTCAAAGAAATCCAAATAAAAAATCAGGCCTCATTCCTGTCATGTTTTGAAGTTTGCTCGTCTTGCCTGTTAGGGGTAAAACCTGGATCATAAACCACACAGCTGATCACTGGGTAGGGTTCTTTGGACGCAAAGGACTCAGCCACTTAGAACCAGATTTTGAGTGAAAAATGTAACCATGGATTGGGTTAGTCCCCCAGGTGGTGTTTCAGGTCACTGTCATCAATAATAGCCTGAAGTGGGACCTTAACTGAATCCTGGCATTCAATTGACTTACATATTGCTGAGTAATCAGGGTTGCAGATGCAGATATTTACCAAGGGTTTAATCTGGGCTGCTTGATAATATGTTTTTAGGATGGGGAGCACCAGACCCCCTTCGTCCCCAGGAAGCTGGAGGTTTGTATCTAACTCTTTTCCTGCCATAGGAATTTTAAATGCACCCGTTCCATTCTAAAAAGTTCTTATCTGTGATATCCACTGGTAGTTATTGGAACAAAAAAAGCCCACCAGGATGTCATCCTCAAACATGTCCAATAAGACTCCATGTATTTTACCATTTTTTGTTTTTTACAAGTGACTCAGAGGCTCAATGAAAAGTGCAAACAATAGGGTTTATTATTGTGAGTTTTGATTGTCTATATGAAAGTGTTATGAAATTTAAATATATGCAGAATTGAATGACCAGTTTACTGAGTCAAAAGCTTTTTCTGCATCCAAACCTTTTATGACTGCTTCAATTTGTTCCTAGTTTATGTGATGGGTCACACAAGCATTGTCCTGAGTTTGGCACTGTTTTATGAATCTTGTTTGATATGTTTAATTTAAGGTAGAATTAGTTCCAACCTTCTAGCTAATACTGAGTCAAAACATTTATAGTCCAGGTTCAAGAGGCTCACAGGTCTATTTTCTTAGCACTCTAGCAAATCTACTTAGGGATGACTGTTATAACAACTTCCCGCAAGGATGGGGGCATTTCCTCTTTTTTTAAGCACCCAATTAAATGTCCTCAGCAGTAGCCATATATACCATATATGGTCATATAACAATCCAGCCCAGGGCTTTTATTGGTTTTAAGCCTCGAAACAGCCCTGTTCAATTTATTGCTTGTAATTATTGCTTTCTAAGCATCATTCTGAGTATTGGACAGTGTTGGGAGGTCCAATTCTGCAAGCAGGTAGCCTACTCTGCTTCAGGGGTGTAAGTGTCGATGGTGCAACCGGTGCAATGCACTGGGGCCCAAGTGATTACAAGGGCCCACGAAGGACAGTGACACTTGTCGCATGGAATGTGATCAGATGCCCTCATCCATTCATTTATACTGTGTTGGCATTATGACTAACTGTGCTTTCCTTGTTTGCTATTTGCTCTGTGGTTATTGACATACTGTGTCAGCTACAATGTATTGATTTGTTACTATAGGCTGGTTAAAGCTATTTTGGTTGTTTGATAGTGAGAGACAGCAGGTTTAAGTCGTGGGCAGGCTGTAAGATTTGTGTTTGGCACTTGTGCTGCTGATCAAAGGCTGCAGATTTGCGGTTGCATGGAGTCGTTGTGTATCTGTACCTATGGTCTGTACACCCATGTCTACACAAACGTGCTTTGTTTGGCGACAGGCACAAGAAAAATATTTGCACCGGGGCCAGTCACAATTATGTTGCGCTGCTGCTCTGCCTCGTCATCGTTATTTAATTCTGGTTGAAGGGATATATTTTTGTAATATGTTTCAAAACTCTTGCTGATGTCCTCCAAGTCATACTTTATTTCACTGTCTTTGGGGTCTCTTATCTTATAAATAGATCATTCTTTTTGTCTATAATCTAATAGCTTTGTCAACTTCACCCCACCCTGTAGTATTTTTGTTTCATGAACAGCATATTTTTAAGTATATTCCGTGATTTGAAATGTTTATTGGCGTTATCATGCGCTACATTTCTCTGGCCAGGTTTGGGTCCGATGTTGTTGTTTGCTGCCTTTTTGATCCTTTTTAACTCTGCTTCTAGAGTTATGAACTGATGGTTTTTTGGTCAACACAGCTGTTTTAGCAAAACTTTTGGTACACTGTCCGGGGTTCTTTACTATGGATGGATTTCTTATGCTGACTCCTAGGCATTTTATGCACCCATACTATAAATTTGTCTGACACTAAACTGATTAAAGTCAAGTTTCAGGGGCTTTATTTGTTAGTTGAGGAGAGGTGCAAAGTCCCTTCGACTGGAAGTCCTGCCATCTTCTTTTCTAATGAACTTTGTATGGCAACATCCCAGTCTTCCATTGACTCATTGTGGGTTTAGGGGTTTAACTGGAGGCTCAAGCCATACCTCCTCACAACACACCCCCTGGTCTACAGGCCACAGCCAAGCCCTTAGCCAATAATATATGCCCCAAGTGCAGGATGGTCTGTCATCAAAAGTATTTTTATTGTTTTACAGAAAATGATAAACTCTAAAATACAGCTAACAGTACCTACAAAATAACATTTTGTCATTGTTGCGCCAGATCCTGGCAAATGTGTAGCTGATGTAGAGCACAATGTGTTTAGCTAATGGATGTATGGATGCATGATGTTAAAAGAAGAGCAAGTAGCAGAGAAAACAAGTGTTTTTCAATGTTTTCCTTTATTTTCACAACCATTTTTGTCCATTAAGACACAAAGTAGTTAAAAGGATAAATACAATATGATTTTTAAAAATACAAAAAAACAATGAAGATTTATGAACTGAATGTTTCCCTTGAACATCCCATTGCTCAACTACCATAATGTGAACACCTTAGTTTTGGCTTTTATATAACTTGATATTATGGAAATGAACCCTCATATGACAAGACCTTAGTTATGAAAAACAAAGAGTGTCACAGAATATGAGCATATAAATAATGATACTAATAAAATCATTAGATCAAATAATTAATTTTGATAGTGTGTTTGGTCTTCTAAAATGCCCCAATAGGTATAATGAATCATATGAACGGGTTTCAGGAGCAGCTGGAAGCAGCGAGCTGCTTATGGTGATTTAGCATTAGCATGTTACAGTATGCTTCCCCACATGGAGGCCAGGACGGCTACACCAATGGCAGCGGTCAGGGTCATCTTGGTGGATGGTGCTCCACTGGCCTGAACAGGGTTGCACTGGTCTGTTGAGCAGCAGGTGGTTTGTGTCGTGTAGGAGACACCCAGCAGGCTGCTGGTGGTATTCGTGTTACAGCCAATGGATTCAATGCAGCCCTGGGTGTTGAAGCCCACAGAGGTCAATCCTGTGAAAGCTGAGGAGAAATTATTGTTTTATAAAGTGGAAAGTAACTTGGTAAATTTGATCAAATAATTTTTTAATAAATTTGATTGTTTCTATTTTACTCCACTATATGGAAATATTGCACTTTTTACTACACCACATTAACCGAAGCTGCTATAGTTACTAATATGTTTATAGTATTTTAAAAACACTTTTCTTATTTTACAGATTGAGATGTTACATTCAACACAAGATTGGCTCATGAACTTATTTCCTTCGCTTCATTACTTCTTTTCATTCCCTCTTTTCCTCCATTGATCTGAAAACATCAGGGCTGTCCCTGAATAGTCGAAGATTCAATTCTTCGATGGGTGGAACCTGATTTGACTGTCAATCTCAGTTGAAGCTTTGCAGCAAAACGAGGATCATGCTAGTTTGGTGATATGGGGGTGCTCAACATCTGATTTTACATAGAACTACCAGTTTTCCAATAAGTTAATATACAGCCTACTATAATATACATTTCAACATATCATGCTGTAAATAAATATGTAAATAGAAAAACCCTAACCCTCAAGGTAGGGGGTGAGTGCGCACATCTGTGTGTGTGTGTGTGTGTGTGCAGTGGAAGAAGAGATGCAGCCCCAGCCCCAGCCACCTCGCGTGACATTCGGATCATTTATCACCACTGAATGAATATTATATTGTTTTTTAATAGTAGCCTCTGTACAAGAATGGTGAATGGCAGGCGAGCAGAGAGAAAAGGGTCAACCATAAGCCTCAGTTTAGCAGGAAATGTACAGTGTATGTTACTGCAGCTCTGCAGCTTCTCAAGATTAAAGTGGAGCTACTGTGTGTAACTCCACTTTCCACTATTAGGATTAGTTACTTACAGGTTTTTATACACTATCCACAAAACATTGAGGAATTATATAAAGACAAGACATGATTATCTTGTCTGGTTTGTATGTGTCACAGTTTTTGGGAGTGATTTCAATTGATGCATGCATGGGCTGTTGTGTAATGTTTCAAGGTAAACGGTGTAAGCTTTTGGGCAATTAAGGACTTACTTGCTTTTCCAGTAAAGCAGAGGCTGGTGTTGCTTGTGCAGGTCACCTGAGAAGCGCTAAGGCAGTAGCCCAAAATACCGTTGCTGCATTTGTTGCAGGTCAGGGACTCCACTGAAACACAAATAAAGCACAAAAGTTAAAATGTTAACATCCACCAGTACTTCCATCTTGTTCCCTGTGTCTTCTGCTTTTTGTTCTCTGTCTCCTAATGTTCCTGTCAGTCTTCTGTCTGTTTCCCTGTGTTTGTGAGGGAGTGTCTGTCTGGACGTGGCAATGCTCTCCAGCTCCTTCCGCTGATCGATTCCTGCTAACCCAGCAGTATCTATCCTGGCTCTTCACTTCAGTATTGGCCAGATCATCAATTTGCCAATGTGGTACAAGTGCTATGGCCCTCTTTCTTTCTTTGAGTTTCTTACAAGTGATCTCGTGCCTAACTTCTAATGTCTCTCTGTGCTCATATTCCACATTCACCTGAGATCTACTACAGCCTGTCTCACTCTGCATCAGTCAGCCTAATCTCCAGCCTGCTGCTGCTTGCTCTGCCTGCTGCTGCTTGCTCTGCCTGCTGCTGCTAACCTTGGTCTACCATTACTTTGCTCACCACTGCTCACATCAAACATCCTTCCTAGTAGTAATAAACCATTTCTGAACTGTGATTAGCTTTGTAAGTTGTGCTTTTGGGTCCAGATTTCTCTGTGGTTACAGCAAAAATAAAAAATAAACATTTTATATTGAGTATGTAGGAAGTCATCAAGTGTTCGTGTGGTTGAAGGGAACAGATTCAATCGGGAAGAAACTGTCTACAGCTAAAATTAACAATCAAACAACATCTTACTTGTTTAATTAATTTAGGTCATTCATTTTCTTGATATTTTGACATCAACATGAATATTTTGGAAATAAATATATATATATGTTGAAATCAAACACTTGGACAGTAGCAGCGATGTATCAGTAAGTCTTTTTCCAGAACTTTAAGTTCAGTGAACATAGTTTGGGGAATTTGTGATACAAAAGTTGTTAAACCCCACCCAAGTTAAAATAAACAGTGAAGCTCTAACGTTCAATGATACTGTATGATTTGAAGGAAAATATGTGAGGGCTGTGATTTTATTTAAAAATCACACAAAGTAAACATTGTCTCATTACCCTGCCATTTATTTTATTGTCACCCCAATTCAGTGGAGGTGAATAGAGTTTTAATTGTGGTGGTCAAAGAATTGATAAATTATTAAATTAACGGTAATGTGTCTTTCTACAACAACCTGGACACTGTGGATAATCCAGAGACCTCTATTTTTTTATCAAACTACTTTCTCCCGAAGAAATAGTCTGTCTAAAAGCTGTTGACCGTGAACTTTTACATTTATGTTTTATGACTGATGAGGTTTTCCTCTGTATTCATTCATTTGATTTTTTTCTTTTTAATTATTCATCTCTGTTGTATTGGGATGCTGGTAGACTTTTCATGGTCAACATGTTTGCCAGAATTCTTTGTCCCTACTTTGTCTCTTATATATATTTTTTCCAGTAATACATTTGTGATCAATCATTGATAAACGCGATTATTATTGAATCTTACCCAGCATTAAAGATGCAAGAACTGCAATGACTCCAAATAGGATCTTTGCCATCTCTGTGTGTCGGTTTGGTTCTTAGCTTTGGCTCAAAGACAAAAAAAAAAACCTTCCATCCAGGTGATCGGATGCTGTGTTTAGTAAAGTGATGAGCCTGTTTAGTGAGGACAGACTTATATAGTTAGACAGGTGATGGGAGGGAAGAGAAGGATTTTGTCATGCCCGTTGTCTTCATCTTAAACTTGGAGTCACTGAAGGAAGAAATGTCAAGGATGACTAATGCATGGTGGAAGGTTTTAATTAAATGTCATGAGCTGTCAAAACTCTTTGTGCCTTTCATTCAAGTTAAAGAACGATTAATTAATCTCAGATTGAATCATAAGCTTAAGGTTCCTGTAACAGGGTAGACCTGTATCGGCCTGATTTTGAGTGCAGTGATAGTGGGATGGGTGAGCACCTACAGTGTGTGTGTGTGTTTGGTAGGTGTGGTTTTCACATGGGTTGATTGCATGGGGATAGGCTGAAGGTGTGCTTGGATGAGACCTCCAATCTGCAGTCATTTAATTGGCCACACACTATGCTCAGTGAGTTTCTGTTTGTCTCCTGTGTACGGGTACAGATTTGTTGCATGTGGTAATGTTGAATGTCTTTTTCCCTGGGCATATGTTATGTGGGTTGGTGGCAGTGTCTGTCGTGTGGAATTGGGGTGGGTAGCTTTGTAAACTGCTAATGTGTAAATAGAGTTTCTGCTTGTCTCCTGTAAACAGTGTGCGGGTGTGCTGAGGCTGCTGCTGGGATCAAAGATAGTGTGGTACACGGCTGGGTCGAAGTCTGGAGAGTTGCATGGTGCAAAGCAACAGCCACTTAGTGGAGTTACTTGAGGCTCCAGGCAGTGAGGAGGCCACAACCAACCAGCCTGTGACCAGCAGCAGACCATACCTTGGCGTGTTGTTTGGCTTCCCCCACATGCAGGGAACGGAAGTTGAGCACACCCAGATGCAAATGGCCTAATTCCATTCCATATATTTTGCACGGCTTGTTGTTGTTGTTGCCCACTTATTTTTCACCACTGGTTGGTCAATTCAGAACCAAAGGGAGCTGTTACATTCCCATGAAATGGAAGGCAGAGTGCTATTTGTGTTGACAGTAGCAAATAGCGCTGAATGTGCAGTTATGTAATTATTTGCCGAAGACAGCAGAACAGCAAAAACTCCCTTTTCTTTCAGCAAGGGCTTCATGAGTAATTTAATTTTCAGGCTGATCCAATCAGTGGCAGAGTAGGGCGGGTCATGCCTTTGCCATAGCAGGATTTGCAAATTTGCGCTCGGACCAGAATGGAAGCTCCCTGAGCGAACATGGCGGCCAGACCAAATACAACAGTCAAATGGAGGCCAGTTTGACAACAGGAAATACTGTATCAAGGCAGTTTTCCTGTTGGATTTGGCTGTTCTTGGCATACTTGACACACACACACACACATGCGCATTGACCCCCCCTTCCTTAAGGGTTATGGTTAAAATTCTAGATTTATTGATGCACTTTAAAAATATTAAAAGCTTTTTTCTTTTTAAATCTTTATTTACAGCATTACATGTAAATTATATAATAGGCCAATAATCTGTTTTTGTTCTGTTGTCTTGTCCTGTATCTTGTCTCCCTTATCCAATCTGTGTTCTTGATTCTAAGATTTGGGTTTTGCATCTACATTTTAGTTCTGTTCTGTTGAGTTTAGTTCACTGTGAGTTTACTTATTGATCTGTTATTTAGTCTGGGTTATTATTCATCTAGTTATCTGTCAGCTAGTGTATAATGGTGGTCTGGTATTTTCCTTATTTCCGTTCTGTTCGTTGTCTTGTGTTGTCTTGTTTCCTGGTTAGTTTTGTCTCTCTTCCCTACCCCGGTCTGTGTAACAGTTGGTCCATGTTTTCTGTTGGAGTTTTGTTCCTTGTCTTGTGTTCTCTGTTTAGCTTTATTTATTTCATTGTTCATTCGCTGGTTCTGTTTAGCTCACCTTTCCATCTGTCATGTATCTTAGGTTTAGTTCTGTGTCTTAGTTTGTCTGTGTTAAGTGTCAAGTAACCTAGGTTAGGTCTGTTCCCCCCCAGTTATCACTCTGCTTGCCTCTCTGTTCTTCCCTGCTGTCTTTCTGCCTGCCTTGTTAGCCCTGATCCCAGTCACCTGTGTTGCTCCAGCCCTGCTCATTAGTCCCTGTGTATATATGTTTGGTGTTTCTGATCATTCCCTGTCTGGTCATTGTAGCGTCCATACGCACTGTCTAGTGTTGTTGGATGTTGTGTGTTCTGGAAGTTGCTGCATTACCTGTTCTGGTTTTTGGATGTACCAGTTTCCTGTACCTTTTTTTTTGAGTTTTTGTTCAATCCTGTTTGTCTTGCCTTGGATTAAAAACCCTGGAACCTATCTCCCCTCCTGGTGTCTTGCATTTGGGCTCACACTCCTGCCTTGCACACCCAGCGATTGTGACAGTCACATAAAACGTTCAGTCATTTTTCTTGGCAGCCTTGTTAATTGAGTGAAGTGTTGAGAATGTGAATTGTTATGAGGTTGTCAAGCTCAGACACAGGAAGCAGGGAGTTGGATCCAGAATGCAGACACTAAGGCAACACTTCCTCTGGAAGCCAGACAGGTGAGCTGTTGGAGCTGCTGAAGGAAGTGATGGCTGCAGCAGCTTAGCAGGATCAGAGGGCTGTAGCAGATCAGGAGCATGAGGGTAGCTGTACCTCGGCAACTAATCATCAGCTTAGAAAAGGCAGGGATTCCCTGTAGCTCAGCAGAGTCAGCAACCAATTCAACCACCAACCCATCAGCAAGAAGTTGTTGCAGTACGGTGACTGAAGACTGTCAGTTCAGCAAGGATGGGGGGGAATCTGCAGTTCTGTGACAAGGGCAGGAGATCTCTGCAGCTTAGCAGAGTAAGGGGGGTTTGAGTTTGTAAATGGTGGGTTTTAAGTATTGCGTCTAAGGAATTGTGGGACAATTCTTTCTTTTTGTAAAGGAAGGTCAGGTGTGCCCTAAGCGAAAAGATTTGTAAGGAAGCATTGAAGCACTTTCCTTTTCATTTAGAGAATTCAACCTGCTCTTATCATGGCTTCCACAGAGATACTTCCAGTTCGCTTCACTCAGTTAGGAACTTCCTAAGCAATATAAATGAGGCCTCTGTTCCAACCTCTATACTGTATCCATCAATGTATGTGATACTGCATCCGTTCTCAAAAACACAATCGATTTTTAAGTAATAGTTTTGATGCACAAATTTGTAGCAGAGTTTCAGCCATTTGACTACTCCACTCTAATGTAAACTGAGACAGGAACAAGTAAGTACTAGGGCTTACCCCTAATTAACACGACAATTATTTTATCTCACGTTAAGGCAACTTTTATTATTATTTTGAATGTCAGTTGCTCACTGGCTCTGAAAACACATACAGTCAAACCATGGGTCACAGGAGGGGTGGGATGTTGATCAGCCTGCAAATCACCCACCCAAACAAGCATTAGAGGGAAGCTTCGGCAGGCTATGCTGTATGCAGCGTGCGGGAGAAGTAGATAAACAAAAGCAAGACAAGCGAATAAATGCCATAGCAAAGTGGATAGCTACACAGTGCATGCTGATTAGTATTGGGGAAAATGTCAGTCTTAAGAATGTCCTTAAAATCACAACGTAGTCGCTTGCTCCGCAGGGTTGCTCTTTGCTCCAGTGAACAGAAAGGGATACGGCTCTCCACCAGTAAACAGCAGTTTGGCTACTGCTATCCATACTATCCAAATAGTAACCAAAAAAAACAAGAAAATAGATTTATATATGTTAACCTGTTGCCTATTATGATCGTGACTCTGAACTCTTAACTTGTTTTAACAAGCTAGAAGCTGGCAGTGGCAAATAGCTTTGGTTTTATATTTGCTTACATTAATGTTTAAGTTAAGATTTACAAGAAATATTTTATTGCTTCTGTGTAAAGGGAATACTGCTGGTAAAAAGCACCTTATTTGTTTAAAGTGTTTGCAAACCCCATGTTATTGCACTTTTGTGTATACAGCAGAACATTTAAATTAAAAGTGCGCAATACATTACATTAGAATTCATTATTCAATTTTGCTCGTATCTTACCACTCATGAAGTATCCTACAGGTTTTCCATTCTTTCCAAAGTCCATTGTTTTTATAGAGACTGGTTGGGGGTTTTAACTGTTCACTTAAACTATGCACCCATGTTGTACCTTTTATGGGAATAGATGACTATCTCTACCACAAAACGAAACTTTCCAAGTTACTGTAGCTGTGACATTGGTTTTCATGGGAATGCAGCCATCGAGGTTTTCATCATACAGAAGTGGCCGTGGCTTAATTTAGAATTGGTTGGAAAAACAACAGATGTCTCTCGCCCAATGTCGCCCAAAAAATCTCGTTTCTCAACCACCATGGTGTAGACACCTTAGTTCTGGCTTTTATACCTTGATATTATAGAAATGAACCTTGACAAGACCTTAGTTATGAAAAACAGAGTATCACAGAACATGAGCATATAAATAATCATACTTATAAACTCCAAAGGTCCAAATAGTTTATTTTTAATAATTAATTTTTGTAAAGCCCTGATTGGTGTAATGAATCATATGAATGGGTTTCAGGAGCAGCTGGAAGCAGCTTGCTGCTTATGGTAGTTTAGCATTAGCATCTTACAGTATGCTTCCCACCAATGGCACTTGTCTGTTGAGCAGCAGGTGGTTTTGGGTCGTGTAGGAGACACCCCGCAGGAGTATGCCACATCATGTAGCACTTTATTTCTTGATGTTGCTGTTGCTAGATGAACAATTAAATATTTGCAATACCATATGTTTTATTCAATAATTAATTAAATATAATTTCTTAATATATCTATCGTAAGAAACCTTATTTCTTGACTGGCCACTCTTTCCTGTCCCAGAGGATGACATCTTTTTTCCTGGAGTGTCCAAAAATCTGATTTGGGTTTACAGACTGAATGTACCGTAACATTTGTCAGGCACAAAGTGTTGCAAGCAACCATGCCACAGACAGACCAAGAGATCCACTGCAAGCTAGAGGAGAAAACACAAGATTGCCTGATTGCTGTTCTGTTCTCCAATTCACTCTCATTGAGTTTTTTCTTTTCTCATAAGAGTAGTTGATGCTTCTTTATTTTCACATCAATGTTTGTTTAGTAAGACAGAAAGTAGTTAGAAGGATAAATACAATATAAAACAAAGCAAAGCAAGGTAGATTTACGAACTCAATGTTTTCCTGAAACATCACATTGCTCAACTACCATGTTGTGGACACCTTAGTTTTGGCTTTAATATAAATTGTCATTATAGAAATGAACCCTGACATGACAAGACCTTAGTTATGAAAAACAAAGAGTGTCACAGAACATGAGCATTATAAAAATCATATATATATAAACTCATAGGATCAAATAGTTTTAACAATTTTGATAGAGTGTTTGGTCTTGTAAAGCCCTGATTGGTATAATGAATCATATGAATGGGCTTCAGGAGCAGCTGGAAGCAGCGAGCTGCTTATGGTGATTTAGCATTAGCATGTTACAGTATGCTTCCCCACATGGAAGCCAGGACGGCTACACCAATGGCAGCGGTCAGGGTCATCTTGGTGGATGGGGCGCCACTGGTCTGAACAGGGTTGCACTTGTCTGTTGAGCAGCAGGTGGTTTGGGTCGTGTAGGAGACACCCAGCAGGCTGCCGTTGTTGGTCACATTACAGCTGGTGGATTCAATGCAGCCCTGGGTGTTGAAGCCCACAGAGGTCAATCCTGTGAAAGCTGAGGAGAAATTATTGTGTTAGAAAGTGGAAAGTAACTTTGTATATTTAAGCAAATAATTTGAGTGTATCCTTCTTTTTTTTACTGCATTACTTTTTACTCCACTATACGAAAATATAGCACTTTTTACTGCACCACATTAACCAAAGCTACTATAGTTATTTATATGTTATAGTTTTTATATACACTTTCCTTAATATGCAGATTCAGATGTTACATTCAACATGAGATAAGCTCATAAAATCACTCATTACTTATTAACACATTATTTCCTTCGTTTCATTACTTCTTTTGTTCCCTATTTTTATTCATTGATCTGAAAAGATTAAACACCCCAAAACTGGAAATACACCTGACAGTGAAATGTTTTAGTTTTTTTTTTTGCTACTACTTTTTATAGCTACTTTTAAACTAGCATGCAGGACTAATTTCCCAGTGTGGCACAGCTAGTATTATTTAAGAGCTTATATACAGGATTTTATACATTATATACACAAAACATTAAGGAATTACTACAACGAATCATATAAAGACAGGACAGCGATTTTAAATGCCTGTGCTGTGGTGTAATATTTGAAGAGACAGGGTGTAAGCATTTGGGCAATGAGGAGGTGACTTACTTGCTTTTCCAGTAAAGCAGACGTTGGTGTTGTTGCAGGTCACTGTAGAAGTGCTTAAGCAGAAGCCCAACAGACCATAATTGCATTGGTTGCAGGTTAGGGACTCCGCTGAAAAAGACAGGTAAAAATGCAAAAGTTAAAATCTAAAAACACCATATGTTGAATATATAAAAAGTCATCAAATGTTTGTGTGGTTGAAGGGAACAGAAAAGTTGCTCATAACAGGTTGAGTCAGTCAAGCTAATGCAACCTTAAACTGTATGTGGAGCTGAAATGAATATGACCTTACTTGCTTTAATGGATTTAGGTCATTCATATTCTTGATCTCAACATTTATTACACAAATACTTGAAGACCTTTCTAAAACCTTAATTCTTACCGATAATTTTCTTTACTTTTATGTCAGTGATTGTTTTTTAAGAGTTGGTGTTAATGTTGTTTTGAATCCAATCCATTTTATTTGTAAAGCACATTTTAAAAAACAAAGGTGTACGAAATGCTGCATAAGGGATAAAACATACTGTAAAACTGTTTAGTCTTTTTTCTTGACTATTGAGTTTAGCTGACATTGGTTTGGGGAATTGCTTCTCCACCACACCTTGGGCTGTGGTACAAGAATTTGTTGTTAAACCCCGCCCAACTTCAATAAACAATGAAACACCAATTTTCAACTATGCTGTATGATTTAAAGGAAAATATGTGCAAGGTGTGATAATATGCTAATCAGTGGTGCACTTTAACTAAATGGGTACTTAAAGTAGTTTTTGAGTGAGGGTTGAAAAATAGTCAAAGGGATGTGATTTTTTTTCACACAAAGTAAACATATTTTCTCATTTGCCTGCTTTAAGATGGTTTGCTTTCACCCCAATTGAATGGAGGTGAATAGAATTTTAGGTGTGTTGTTGAAAGCATTGATAAATAAGCATTGTGTCTTTCTAGAAACAACCTGGACACTGGATCCCCAGACCTCCATTTTTCAACAACTTTCTTCTTAAGAAATAGACCCTTAGAATATTTTTGACAGTGATTTTTTTTACGTTATGACTGATAACGTATCTGTATTTTTTCATTCATTTTAAGTTCAAACAAAATTTGATTCACCTCCGTTGTGTTAGGATGGCGGCTCAGTGGTCAATATCTCAAAATCTAGGTAGAGTCAAGTAGTCAAGTAAGAAAATGTATTTGTTTATAATTTCGGTGAACTGACTCCTTTAATAAAAAGTCTTTCTCATAGAACCCGAAATGTCTTTAGCTACATGAAACACTTCATAAGTTCATTATGTCTTAAAAAAGACATCAGGTGACATAGTCTCAGGATACACTTGTTAAAGAAGAGCATGGATAAAATTGATTGAACTCCTTTTTGCCAAAATACTTTAACACTACTTTCACCAAAACGAAAACTGTATATGCCTTGGTTTGAAAATAAATGACCTGTGATACTTCTTTAATGAACTATGATTCAGTTGAGTGATAAAACAAAAGTAATAATAGTATAATCAAATGAATAACAATTCCTGAAATCTAAAATGTGCACAAAATAAAGTTTCTTTACAATACTATATATAACTTTCTTCTTGTAATACATTTGTGACCATTAATTAATAAACCCGATTATTGTTTAATCTTACCCAGCATTAAAGATGCAACAACTGCAATGACTCCAAATAGGATCTTTGCCATCTCGGTGTGTCGGTTTGGTTCTTGGTTTTCAGCGCAAAGACTAAATAGACTTCCTCCCAGGTGACTGGATGCTGTGTGTAGTAAAAACTGATGAGTCTGTTTGGACTTATATAGTGAGACATGTGATGGGAGGGGACAAGAAGGTTTTTTTTAGGCCTACTGTCTTCATCTTTACCTCAGGGAAGGAATGTCAATAATGGCTAATTGAGATCGGGGCGGACTGGAATGATAATTCGGACAGGGAATCTTTTGTCAGTCCAGGCTAGGGTTGGGTATCGTTTAAAATTATACGATACCAGTACCAAAACCAGTACCCTTAAAGTGATACCGATATCAATAGAGTACTTCATTTGATACCTTGCATAAAATGCCACCTGTTGACGGCATAGTAGTTGATTGGTAGCCTATTATTATTTTTATTGTTATGGATAAGCAAGGTTTTCTTATTTTTTCTTGTTTCAAATAATTGTTACATAAAATGTATTGGGAAATTATCAGATCGTTTCCTCATCCTAATTAGGTCATCCTCACTGGTAGCCCATAAGGGGAAATACTACAGCTTGCTGTTTTTTTATATGTGAATGAGAGAGGAGTGAAATACTTCAGTGACCAAATAAGTTGTGGAAAACGAATTTATGGTATTTCTTGATACCTGTGTTGAAAGACAACAAGTTAACTTTTGATCAGTAAACTGAATTGAAAGATCCTTTTCCTTTATTGGTGAGTCACAAACCTCCTCCAAAAATGACAGTCACAAGCATTAAACAAGAAAGGAGTCTGTTTAAACAAGTCACTTAACTACACTAAAGACACAAACAGAGGAAAAGAGAGGCTGCACGTCCAGCCGATCAAACCAACTACATCTGAAGCAGCCGCAGCTGCAGCCGGTGTAAAATCAGCTGATCGCTGCTGTGCCACAAAAGCATTTTATTGACGTGATGGAACGCAGTGATCAATCAGTGACAACTGATGTGAATAGCAAATAAAAATGTACAGAGAAGTGTTAAATGATACCAGAAGATGAAACCAAAGGAAAACCAAGCTTGTGGTGATAAACTTGCAACTGTGACGAACATGACTGAGACCGCACCGAAGGTGAACAGCTGTTAAAATCAGGCATGGACTCTTTCTTTCTTTGTATTTTTTTTGTGTTTGGCTGCAAGCAAAACCATAGAAATGGTAATTTTTTGCCACGATCTAGTTACAAAAAGTAGGCCTACTGGTTTGACTGGAGATGTTTCGATTCCACTCGATGCTGGGCTGTTTTAAGCGTCACCCATCCCTAGTTCAGACCAATCTCCACATTTACTCCAGTCACAGCAGACCACATATCATGTAAGCACTTGGTTGATATTTTATTTTTAGTTAAAAACAAACATATACAAATAGTAAGAAACAGCCTAGAACAAAAACATCAGATTTCCTCCTGTTCTGAATGTTCTGTTTTGAACTGCTTTTTCTATTAACGGCTCCAAGCGGACTACCAGCTCTGACGCAGAGTAGCATATAGCATTAGCTCCTTAGCCTGAACTAACTCGGTCACGTCGAGCCAGGTGGCGTGGTTTCAGCAACCAGTGACCTCAGCTCCACTCCCACCTCTTTGCCCATTTTGGTTATCCGGCAGTGATGTACGGTGACGCACTGCCAAGATGATGACAGCCAGCTTGGCCGAAAAAGAGCAACAACAATTTAACCACGTAGCCTATGTAATTTCACTGTAGTAGAAGCACAAAAAGCAAGCACTAATCACCAAATCAACAAAATCTAAAGAGTCAGCAAAATCAGGCAGGTAAAACACAATAGAACAAAATCAGGTCTTAACTGTGAATAAGGTAGTACAAGCACAAAAAGGACATTATTAAAACAAGTCATCAACATGGGGCAGGCTACTTGCTTCCCTGCTGAAATGCTTCTGAGACTCTCTCAGTGGAAGTTGACACCAGGCAGAAGATGAATCAAAAATGCGGTACAGGCGCTGCCTGTGTGAGTCTGGCAAATAAGTTTGCCTATTGTTTATGATTTATATATTTTCTAAATGTATCTACTGAGAGTATTGTGTTTTTTGTTGGTAATTGTTATTCTTGTGGTGGTTTACCATTGAGTGAAGTGACTGTTTCATTTGATAAGCACAGCTGAACTTCTTTTTGGTTGGAAGTGAACTGTATGTAGCTTTTTCCATCCGGCGTGTCTTCAATCAGCTGACATGAACTTCGCGGCCCAGGTAGGGAGCCCCCCCATCTAGCTGGGGTACTTGGCAGGCTGCTCACATGCACCCATGCTGCCTCCACTTATGCTCCCACCTGGCAGAAACAAGTATACAGGTCTTTTTTTTCCCAGATTATTTACATACATATGCTTCTCCTGCTTTTCTAAATAGCATTATTATTGCATGCTAAATTAATCACAATAAGGTTTGGCTTAGGCCTAAAGCACCTCAAGCTGCGCCTCCATAATCTTTGCCCCCTCAAGCCGCACCCCAGAGTGGTACAGTCTGTTATGATTGAATTCCTGCCTGATTTGTACCATGCATGTATGAACATTGTACAGTAGGTGACAGAAGCCAGTGATTTAAAAAAATGCGCATTTCTATTATCATCAGTACACACGCTGAAAGTTGCATTTACCGAGACGTAGCTATGACGAAGCTGTCATAAAATTGGTTGAAAAAAAACACAGATGTGCCTAGCATGTGTCAGCTGGGATTGGCTGCACTGCAAATATGAGCACATTTAGCTAATGGATGGATGGATAGATGACAGCAGGGTTGTTTTTCTTTATTTTCACATACATTTTTTTGACCATTAACACACAAAGTAGTTTAAAGGATAAATAAATTATGATTTAACAAAAACAAGGCAAAACCAGGAAGGTTTATGAACTCAGTGTTTTACTTAAAAATCTCATTGCTCAACTACCATATGTTGTTATGTACCATAATGTACACACCTTAGTTTTGGCTATTATACAGTATAACTTAATATTATAGAAATTAACCCTGACATGACAAGAACTTAGTTATGAAAAACAAATGTGTCACAGAATATGAAAATATAAATAATTATACGTATAAATTCACAAGGTAAAATAGTTTATTTTTGAGAGTGCTTTGCTTTCTTGTAAAGATGCTGCTTGGTATAATGAATCATATAAATGGGATACAGGAGCAGCTGGAAGCAGCTAGCTGCTTATTGTGATTCAACATTAGCATATTACAGTATGCTTCCCCACATGAAGGCCAGGACAGCTACACCAATGGCAGCGGTGAGGGTTATCTTGGTGGATGGAGCGCCGCTGATCTGAGCGGGGTTACATTGGTCTGTTGAGCAGCAGAGGGTTACGACTGTGTAGGAGACACCCAGCAGGCTTTCGGTTGTGGTCAAGTTGCAGGCACTAGTTCGAAGGCATCCCTGGATGTTGAAGCCCACAGAGGACAATCCTGTGAAAGCTGAGGAGAAATTATTGTGTTAGAAAGTAAATTAGTACATTTAAGTAAATAATTTCAGTGTATCTATTTTATTACTGTGTTACCTTTTACCCCACTATATTCATATTCAGATTAATTTTTTATTATCCTGAGTGGAGGAAATTTGTTTTTACAGTGAATTCTACAGACAAACTACATATAGTACACATATACAAAACAATGTACACATATCTACAAATATAACACAGGGGTGACGTCTGTGACTTTAATGCTCTTATAGCACAGGGTACAAAACCTTTTCCAAAGCGTGCCTTTTTGTAGAACAGCTGTCTTTATCTACGGCCAGATGGGAGAAGGGTGAAGGATGAGTTGAGAGGGTGTCTGGGATTTTGTAATATCGTAGTGGCTCTACAAGCAGTGGCAGTATGAATGAGGACTGGCAGGTTGGGAGAGGGAAGACCTATTCTTTTGGAGGAAGTGTTGGTGATTTTAAGAAACTTATTGCTATTGGAGAGAGAGAGCATGGAGAAGTAGCACATTACAAGAGGATAGGTTCAATGATACTACGGTACAGGAGAAGCAGTAAGTGTGGTTTGAATGAGTCCTTGTTGACAGCGTCTGTGAATGTCTGTGATGTGGTGATCAAAACTCAGTTAATTGCCCATAGTGATGTCAAGGTACCTGAGCTGGGAGAGGGAAGACCTATTCTGTCAACAGTTTCTATTAGCTGGCTGTTTATGGAGATGGGGCAGGGTGGAGAGTTTACGGCGTGTGTCCAGGATGAGTTCCTTTGTTATGGTGACATTGAGGAGGAGGTAACTGTCTTTACACCATTGGGTGGAGTAAATGTAAATGCTCCGTATTTGTATAGCGTCTTTCTAGTCTTTTCGACCAAGCGCTTTTACACTACCTCACATTTACCATTCACACACTGAGTTTCTGTTGAGCCTAAGTGCTCAAACAGAAATTAACATTCATATACTGGCGGAACAGCCACCAGAGGCAATTTGGGGGTTCAGTATCTTTTCCAAGGGCATTTCGACATGCAGCCTGGAGAAGCCTGGGATTAAACCACCGACCTTCCGATTAACGGCCAACCCGCTCTAGCTCCTGAGCCACAGCCGCCCCTATTATTGTGTTAATAGTGAAGTGGGCAATGGAATGGTGATATGCTGTAACTGATTTTGTTAGAGAGAAGGGCAAGTCTGGTTTGAAGTATTTGGAAATGGGAGATGGGCTAAGATGACTGGTGTACAGAGTGTAGAGAAAGGGGCTGAGGACGCAGCCTTGGGGGGTAATGGTGGTGGATGTGGTGCTTCCGGGGGTGGAGCTAGACTCTCAGCACAGTAGGGGTGGAGCTTCATCACGGGGCACACCTGCTACCAAGTCATTTAAACCAAGTTTACATGACCCTAGACTCACTCCAAAAGTCCACTGAGTCTGTCTGTGTTGCTGCTGCTGGAGCTTATCGCAGTCATTCTAGTAAATGATTGTGCTCACACCAGAAGCTCTGCAGTGCATCCCAGAAGCAGAAGCAGCACAGAGCAGATGAACCGGGCAGGAAGTCAGACACAGAATCTGGTCAATTTTCAAAATGAAATACCCGGCACAGACTCCCAATCGTATATCAACAATAAATACAGTTAAATCATACAAAAAAGAAACAATTTAACTACGCAGCCTACTTAATCATAGTAGAAGCACAAAAAGCAAGCACTAATTACTGAGTCAACAAAATCTAAATGTGTCAGCAAACTCCAGCAGGCAAAACGTCTGAGGCATGCCTGTGCTGTCGTGTTTCAAGGGAAAGGGTGCAAACTTATGTGCAATTAGGGGGTGACTTACTTGCTTTTCCAGTAAAGCAGGTGGTGTTGGTGAAGCAGGTCACTGTAGAAGTGCTCAAGCAGAAGCCCCCCAGACCATATCTGCACTGGTTGCAGGTCAGGGACTCCACTGAAATGAAAGCGCAAAAGTTAAAATCAAAAAACATTTAATGTTGAATATGTAAAAAGTCATCAAATGCTTGTGTGATTAAAGGGAACAGAAATGTAGCTCATAACAGATTGATTCAGTCAAGATAAGTTTTTTCACAGTTTTTTTCCATTTATTTGAAGTTTAAACTGAAATTTTTTAAAACTTTTTATTCACCTCCATCGTATTAGGATGCCGACGGACTTCTCAATGATCAATATCTCAAAATCTAGCTAGCAACAAGTAGGCAAATAAGAAAATGAACCCACAAGTTAGAAATGCTTGATCAGTTCATTAAAGCTTAGTCTAATGGTACACTTGTTAAAGAAGAACGTGGATCACTTTTGCCAAAAGACTTGTTCTTGTAATTTGTTCTTGTTTGACCATATCTTAGAAAAATACAGCCAAAAGAAAGCTAGAAAACGACTCCTTTTGCATTAGAGTCAAGAAAGTGTCGGACCTCAGTTAGAGCGAGTCCTATACTGTGCTGTGATTGGCCAGCTGCGTATTCGGGGTGTGGCTAGCGAAGGGTCAATTGCGCTTCCTGAAGGACCTTGAACTGTCTTTGACCTTGAAACTGAATCTTGTGGATTGAAATTGAAATGAGAGAAGTGAATTTGAAAGTACATAAAGAGTTGAATTTTTAGTGAGGCTTAAATACAGTTTCTGTTGCAACCAGGGCTGGACTGGGACAAAAAATCATCCCTGACATTTTTGGCCAAGGCAGCCCACCAAAATCGGTCGGACACCTTTCATTAATACACCATTGATGTATTTAGGGGGTCAGATTAGGGGTGTGATGAAACACTGAGACGTAACATTTGCACAAGATTGGTGTCCATGACTACAAGAAAAGAATATATTTTAATAGACCTACCATTTCGGAAAAAAATATTTATAGATGAAATATTGAACACTTAAACACCTGCATTCTGGAGACATTTTCTGCACCAATTTATGGTGGAAAAGTCTTTATTTTTATGACGGGAAGCACAAAATTCAGGTGGCAGATGACAATTCACAGTATAAAAACATAATAAAAAATACTGCAGTAATCGGTAGCTTATTATTGTTTGCTTAAGTTACTGTTTTGGACAACCAGAGGTTTCGTCTATATTTACATTGCATTGCAGATTTTCTTATTGTGCAAATAAACCTCTCTCATAGCATTTTTATTTGTTAATTAACATTTCATGGTGCAAGCCTTTCTTCAGAACATTTTTAACAAATGCTTTCAAAAAGTGGTGGCTACATGTCCCCAACCTCCCCAGAGTAAATGACCCTCCCTCATAGCTCCCTCCCTACAGGCTGAACTACTCCATGCTTACTGCTTCACCTCCACTCTCTTCCTGCTCTCTCTCTCCCTCAGCCCTGTTACAAAAAGTCCCTCTGTTTCGTTAACATAAGCCACCTCCTCTGCCTGCCTGGTAGTAGCCACCACAGCTCTTTTACTCCTTCAAGTGCCTGTGCCTGCTCTATGCAGGATAGGCTACTGCAGCTGATGTTGAAGCTACTGTAGCCCCGGCAGCAAATATATTGGTTGTTGAATGGGGTTTGTTTTTGGCCCGCAAGGCAAGAAACAGAGAGCAGAGGGGGTGGGAGCAAGTAGATGTGACTGGGCCGGTGGGCAGTGTTGGTATAGAAAATTACCCAATGGGCCGCTGTCCATGCTTTATGGGCCGATAGTTGGCCCGTTTTTAAAAAACAGTTATATAAATGAATAATTTATTTTACACCGGCCCCAAAGGTGCGTCTTCCCACCGTGTCAACTGGCATTTGGAGAAGGGTCCAGCTGCAGCCCACAGACAAACCATAAACTGTATATAAAAACCAGACAAATGTGACGGAAGTTGACGGAAGTTGAACTTCCATATATGGGTTGTCCCAGAAGCCACCGCGCACAAAACGTGATGACGTTTATCTCGACCGCTCAGCCCACGCATAGTTGTTAAATAAAAAAAAGAGCTTGTGAAAAAAAGAGGTGTCAAGTGTCAACGTAATCAGTGTAGGTTATGTGTTAATTTTTACTATACTATACTTATATATTATATAGTATATTTATACTATAATTCCTGCAAATACTTTTTTTAATAGCCTAATGATAAACAAGCAATGTTTCAATTCATACCACTGTTGTATCTTTTATTGTGTGATCTTAAGTTTCACAAACCAAGAAAGTTCTGTAATGTTACATCACGAGCCATATGTGTCTCGATTTAGGTTAAAACTTAACATTACTGAGAATTTATTGACAGAATAACAGCGTTACGAATATTATCAGCTGTTGCTGGACACGTCTGCTGTGTTGGCTGCAGTGGTCTGTGTGACTGTGCCTGGGGGAGCTAACTGTAGCTTGCTAGCTATTCCTGCCCAGCAGCCTGGTATAGAGTATGATGACCTAGATACCATATTGTGCCAGACAGATTTTACTTTAACAAGAGATTATTAATATACTCCTTTGTCTTATTTATTTAAATATGTATTGATTTGTTTCCGGGCCGGACAGGGGGGCAGACACGGGGATGGGGGGGCACAAACAGACAGCACAGAGAAAGGACAAGACCTCTTAAGAGAAGGGGGAAAGGGGGATGGGGACAACAGGGAAAAGCAGTGGGAAACACCAATTGCAGAAAGCAACGAAACCTGCAATAGAACAGAGAGGGGGGCTTGGGGAGGAGAAAAACAACAAACAAACAAAAACAAAAACAAACAATAAAAATAATAATAATAGTAAAAGACCACCAGCCGAACAGCAGCAATAAACAGCTGACATAGTAAGACAACTAAGAGAAAAATGAAAACAAGAAACAGTCCAGCACACTAAATAAGCAACACAGCACAGCCACGAGAGCTGGAATAATAACAAATAATTTAAATAACTAACTGAAAAAAAAGCATCTGGAATAATTCTACCAGGGACAACATAAATTTGTTTGTGTCTATGTGTGAGACTGTGTGTGTCTGTGTGCGTGTGGGTGAATGTGTCTGCATGTGTGTGTGTGTACATGTGTGTGTGCATAAGCCTGTTAAAGAATGTAGTTGTTAGTGAGAGTGGGATGCCACAACTGTGCCACACTTACCCCAGCAACAGGCAGGCAAGAACCCCAGTAGCCAATAGGGGTGGGAGAAAGAAAAAAAAAAATCAATCAAAAAAACAAAGACTCCCAGATGCACCGCGATGCAAATGTGGAAGACAGCGACCCAAATGCCAGTTGACAACATAACGCCGACGGAACGCAAGAAGCGTGACCCATGGAAGAGCAGTGCCCGGACTGACCGCGTCGCGCACACAACATAGACCAGTGGATGTCAGGATTATTCCAGATTGGGGTAAATCTGCATGGGATAGGTGAAGACCCAGATATTTTGAGAAGTTCCCACCAAGCTGCCAAGGAAGTGCTTATGTTAATGCTTTTAAAGCAGGTATGACATTTGATGCTGGAACTGATGAATGGCATATCGGAAATTTTAATTTCCTTACAGAATGTTTGTTCTATGTCCATCCATGAGTGGTCCAGGGTGGTCCATTTTGAGATATATTGTAGTCTATTGGACAGGAAGTAATGATAAAAATTTGGCAGTTCTAAACCACCACAGTCTTTTGCTTTTTGCATAGCTTTTAAACTGATTCGTGGGGGTTTATTTTTCCACAAAAATGTATTTATCCTCTATTGATTTAAGTAAAGGCGTGTAGTTTAGCCATGTCAGTTCTGACAGCCTGGAGGAAATATTGACACCCAGATATTTAATATTCCCAGACTTTAGCGGTGTGGTAGATATACTCTGGAAATCACACTTTACAGGTAAAACTATGGATTTACTCTAGTTAATGGAGTAGTCTGAGATGGATGAGAATTTATCTATAAGTGTGACTGTCTCAGAAAGAGAAGTTTGTGAGTTTAGGATGAAAAGTAATACATCATCTGCATAAAGGCTTATCTTGTGGTGTATATTTTCTGTTGGAATTCCTTTAATATTATTATTTTGTCTGTTAGCAGCTGCTAGCAGTTCTATAAAAATAGCAAATAGCGAGGGAGAGAGTGGGCAACCCTGCCTGGTACCCCTCTGGAGACTAAAGCATGGAAAAGTATAATCATTTGTTTTGACAGAAGCTCTTGGGGAACTGTATAAGATTTTAATCCAATCTATGAAAGAGTTTCCAAATCCAAATTTATATAAAGTAGTGAATAGAAATTTCCAATTTACTCTGTGAAATGCTTTCTCTGCATCTAAAGAAACAACTGTAGATTCCAGGTTATGAATAGTAGCCTTCGTGTATTGTTGGTGGAGTGCCTGCCCTTAATAAATCCTGTTTGGTCAGAGTGTATTATACCAGGAGTGACCTTCTCTAGCCTTCTTGCTAGGGTTTTGCAGATGATTTTAAGATCTGCGTCAATAAGTGAGATTGGGCGATAACTGGACGGGAGTGTGGAATCTTTGTCTGGTTTAAGGAGCAGGCTGATATTAGCAGAGTTCATTGTTGGAGGCAACATGCAAGTACCCCTAATTTGCATAACCATCCTATAGAATGTGGGCGCAAGTATTTCCCAGAATTCCTTATAGAATTCAGCGGGAAAACCATCTGGCCCAGGGGCTTTATTATTCGGCATATGTACTGTAAGAGAGCTTCCTGGAGTTCAGCCATTGAAACAGGTGAATCCAGAGCCCTGATCTGTTCATCATCTAACCTTGGCAAATCTATATTGTTCAGAAATGCATCGATGTTAGAGCTAGATGGATCAATTTGTGATGTATATAAGTTTTTATAATAATCTCTGAATGCATTGTTGATTTCTTCTGGGTTATAAGTCAGATTCCCAGCTGAGTCCTTCAAGGAGGAAATAGTTATTTTTTCTTTATTCAATTTCAATTGGCTGGCTAAGAATCTGCCGGATTTATTGCCATGTTCAAAGTTCTCCAAGTCTTTGCAACTGAAATTGGGTCTTTTTATTAATAATTTCATTTAATTCAAGTTTTGATTTTCTCAGATCATTCAGCATGTGTTCCTGTGGGGAGGTAGCAAGGGTAGTTTCTAATGTTTTTTATTTAAATTTTTTGTTCTAGCTCTAATTCATAAGATCTCTCTTTTTTTTTTTTTGTATGATGAATAGGAGATTATTTTACCTCTCATGACTGCTTTTGCTGCCTCCCAAAGAAGACATGGCGAGGTTCCTGGCAGGTCATTAGTTTCCATATATATTGCCCACTCCTTTTTGAAGTCTAAGTCTAGGAAATCTAGGTCTTTAAGCAATGATGCATTAAATCTTCAACTTCTAGTTGGCCGTGTGACCCTTTTTTTAGTAAGAGTGATAGAAACCGGTGCATGATCACTGATAGTGATACAGTGAATCTGAGTGTTGGAAATGTCTGTCATAATTGAGCTGCTAACCAAAAAATAGTCAAGGCAAGAATATGAGTGGTGGACTGGTGAAAAGAAGGTATATTCTCTAAGAGTGGGGTGGTGAGAATGCCAAACATCGCAAAGACCAAAATCGCTCATGTATTGTTTAAGAATGTCTGTTGATTTCCAAATACGGTGACCACCTGCCGTACTGAGCCTGTCAACTGCTGGATTACATACCATGTTGAAGTCCCCTCCTAATATAAGAGCTGTGTCTGAGTGAGCAGAGAGTGAGTTGAACAAAGCATGAAAAAAGGAGGGGTCGTCAACATTTGGGCCATAGATGTTAAGAATGCATAAAGGAGTATTTTGAATCGAAATGTTAACAGTAGCTAGCTATTCCTGACAGCCCCCCGAAGTATTTTCCTCTTATCCCAACCAGGGTATGTGCCTAAAGTTATTGATTATATGCATGTCGACCGTTTAACCCTACAGCGGCGCACATCGGCTCTCTACTAGCAATTTCGGCCGACGTGCTAGCAGATAGGGTTGACCTCCATTGTGTTGCTGTGCAGCCTCCGGTAACGTTACTGCAGCTATATAACACCTGTCGGCACTATGGTCGGCACTTGCGGAGCTTCTCAACTCCGAAAATGTTTGAACAGATTTTTGATTCACTGCCAATTTTCATAAAACTGCCAATCTCCGAAATCTACACAGTTGATTTCTTGCCTAAAAACTTCTCAGAAGTGTATTTAAAGTTCTGTTGTTGGCTTCTAAAGAATAAAACGGTTTGCAATAGGATCTATCATGTACGTAAGCTGAGATGACCATCATCACGTTTTGTGCCCAGTGTCTTCTGGGACAAACCATATTTGGAAGTTCAACTTCCGTCACGGTCTGCAGGCTGCAGCTGGATATACTTGGGCATTTGGGTAGGGGTCTTCCGCGTTTGCATCGCAGTGCATTTCGGTGTCTTTGTTTTTTTGATTGTTTTTTTTTTTTCTTTCTCCCACCCCTATTGGCTACTGGGGTTCTTGCCTGCCTGTTGCTGGGGTAAGTGTGGCACAGTTGTTGCATCCCACTCTCACTAACAACTACATTCTTTAACAGGCTTATGCACACACATCTACACACAAACATACAGACACATTCACCCACACGCACACAGACACACACAGTCTCACACATAGACACAAACAAATTTATGTTGTCCCTGGTAGAATTATTCCTGATGCTTTTCTTTCAGTTAGTTATTTAAATTAATTGTTATTATTCCATGCTTATTTAGTGTGCTGGACTGTTTCTTGTTTTCATTTTTCTCTTAGTTGTCATACTATGTCAGCTGTTTATTGCTGCTGTTCGGCTGGTGGTCTTTTACTATTATTATTATTTTTATTGTTTGTTTGTTGTTTTTCTCCTCCCCAAGCCCCCCTCTCTGTTCTATTGCAGGTTTCGTTGCTTTCTGCAATTGGTGTTTCCCACTGCTTTTCTCTGTTGTCCCCATCCCCCTTTCCCCCTTCTCTTAAGAGGTCTTGTCCTTTCTCTGTGCTGTCTGTTTGTGCCCCCCCATCCCCGTGTCTGCGCCCTGTCCGGACTGGTGACAAATCAATACATAATTAACTAAATAATAAAACAGACAAAGGAGTATATTAATAATCTCTTGTTAAAGTAAAATCTGTCTGACACAATATGGTATCCAGGTCATCATACTCTATACCAGGCTGCTTGGTAGGACAGGTTAAAAAACAAACAAACAAAAAAACAAGATCTGTCACTTGGTCACCCTTCGATTGTGAGTTTTTCCACTGTTTTTTTTCTTTCATTTGAAGTTCAAACTAAATTTGATTCACCTCCATTGTGTTGGGATGGTGCCAGACTTTTCAGTGGTCAGTATCTCAAAATCTGGCTATACACAAGTGGGAAATTAAGAAAATATATTTGTTTATAATTTGGGTGAACTGACCCCTTTAAAGTCTTATTATGGACCCAAAATGTGTAACTTTAGCTATATTTTAGAAACTTAATCATTTCATTAAGTCTTAAAAAATAAATCAGGTGACATAGTCTAACAATATACTTGCTACAGACGAACGTGAATGAAACTGATTCACCCCTTTTGCCAAACTACTTCAACACTACTTTCACCAAAACCTCCTTAACTTTAATGCAGCTGAGTGATAAAACAATATTAATAAAAGTATAATAAAAAAGTCACAATTCTTCAAATCTAAAAAGCAAAAAAAAAACTTTGCTAGATTTTTTGTCCCTACTGTCATATCTTTCTTTCCAGCAATGCATCTATGATCATTGGGCTAATTGATAACCCAGATTATTGTTTAATCTTACCCAGCATTAAAGATGCAACAACTGCAGTGAATCCAAATAGAATCTTTGCCATCTTGGTGTGTCTGTTTGGTTCGTGGTTTCTGCTTAAAGAAAAAAAACTTCCACCTAGATGATGGTTGCTGTGAGTAGTGAAATGTGATGAGCCTGTTTGGTGAGGACAGACTTATATAGTGAGACAAATGAAAAGTTTTTTTTCCCAGGCCTATTGTCTTCATCTTTATCTTGGAGGAGGAATCAGTTAGTAAAGGAATGTCAGAGATAACTGATGCATGATGGAAGGTCTAACTGAATACAATGAGCTGTACAAATCTGATATGGTGCCCATTCCTTCCTGCCAACATTAGTTTTCAGGCATGTCATAAACTTCCTCTTCTTGGCAGTCCTGTGCTAGAGTAGAGGTGTAAACACTAAAGGCCCATTTACACTCCTGCATAGGGTCTACGTGCGTACCTACGCCGTAGGCTATGCACGTAGCCATGCATTTATACTTGTATGTAGGTGTGTCCGTCATTCTACAATTACAGCCCCAAACACTAGTCGGCAGTAGCGCTACAGCGTCCACTGTGTTGATTTTTGCCGGCTGAACAGGCTAACTTCCGGTTTAGCGCTCCGGTAACGTAAATGGGGGAAAAATTATAAACGTGCGGCTGGTGTAGCCTTTTCAAATGTTACCGACTGAATGGATCACATTCTGATAGTAAAACGAGTCATTTCGCTCAGGTTGCGGCGGTCAAATATATTGATTCACTGTGTTACAGCCGCTGTTTTAGCCGCTAGTAAATGTTACTTCAAAGCGCAGGGTACTTCTGGTCGGCCAATCACAGAGCTTACAGTCTGCGTCGACTCGACGTGTAGTTACATTCTTGAGGAGGTGTACGTCAGGCGACGGCGTAGCCTCTGCGTAACCTCTGCGTAGCCCCATAGCCTACGCCATCATCTACGCTGGCGATTTGATGCAGAAGTATAAATTGCACTTAACTCCCCAGTAGGGACAGACTGGGACGGAAATTAAGACCTGGCTCTGTTGCCACACAAGCCCACATTACTAAGGCCACGCATACCCACCCACTAACATACACATTCACTACTCACATTTGTGTACAGATGGTGTACAGTACCAGTATGATATGTTATGAGAAGCCGCCTAGGCCAAAATTGAATACTTCACTTGCACATACATACTTTCATGCACATACATATTTACTCACTTGCACATACATACGTACATATGTCATTTGTAAGTATTTATGTATCTATCCGCAAGGTGAGTATTTATGTATGCACAAGGTTAATATGAATATATTTGCGAGTTTAAGTATGTTTGTATGTGCAAGGTGAGTATGTATATGTGATAGGGAAGGCAATGTGGGTCTAGCACTAGGACCCAGGCAAAGGGGCAGAGTCTATAAATGGGGGAGGGAAGCTCACCTGGTTCTTTCTTTTTGCAGTCAGACAACCTGAGAGAGCAACTGAGGCCAGCCTTTGTTTGGTGCTTGATTGGGTAGGCTTTATTTTTAAATAGGTTTAATTTTTTAAAAATGTTTAAAAACCCAAGGTTAATAATGCGTCTAGAACTAGATCCTGGAATAATTTTTAGTTCATTTTATTAAAGATAAGTTAAATAATTGTTAAAAACGGTCATCGGCCTCATCTGGGATGGTGAGGAGTCTGCCTACAGACGGGAGGTTGATCTGCTGGCTCTCTGGTACGTTCAGAACAACCAGGAGCTTAACATGCTCAAAACTGTGGAGATGATCATGGACTTCAGGAGGAGCCCGCCCACTCTGCCCCCCATCACCATACTCAACAGCCCTGTGTCTGCTGTGGAATCCTTTCTGGGATCCACTATTTCCCAGGACCTCAAGTGGGAGCCCAACAAGGACACCATCATCAAGAAGGCCCAGCAGAGGATGTATTTCCTGCGCCAGCTCAGGAAGCTCAACCTGACTAAGGACCTGCTGACTTTTACACAGCTATCGTCCAGTCTGTCCTCTGCACGTCCATCACTGTCTGGTATGGATCTGCCACCAAAAAGGACAAGGACAGACCACAACGGACAGTCAGGACTGCAGAAAAGATCATCGGTGCCAACCTGCTCTCCATTCAGGACTTATACATTTCCACAGTCAGGAAACGGGCAGGAAACATCACTGCAGATCCATCTCACCCCGGACACAACCTGTTTACTGGCTAACAATTATTATTTATTCACCTTTCTCTATTTCAGTGCGGTTCATACTGCATACTACATACTACATTATCATATTCTAGATACTGTATACCAAATCCATCTACCTCAAGTCATTACTCCTGCATAAAATACTCATTTATTCCAGCATCCTTTGCACTATGCTTCAGAATCAGAATCAGAATCGGGTTTATTGCCAGGTACATTTTCACATACAAGGAATTTGGCTTGCTATGAATTGGTGCTTGAAGTACACATAAAACATAAATAAAACTCCATGCCTACGAAGGCGTATATATATATACCTTATATCCACGAGTTTGGGGTATCGAGCTGAATCTCGTGGTAAAGGCCATGCCCGTTTTGTTTTTTTGGCAAAATCGCGAAAACTGAAAAACTATTTTAATTAACTCCTCTGAAGCCGCAATTCTGATCCACACCAAACTTTGCACGGATAATCTCTAGACCAAGCTGAGGAAAGTTTGTAGAGGGTGAAAATCCCATTGACTTACATGCATTTTATATCTCCATAACCACAAGTCTGATCGATGATGAAAATTTGGTGCAGTTCAGCCTAAAGCTTAAATACCGTCGGAACATCCCATTCATTTCAATGGGATTTGGAACCAAGGGGTATTTTGCCTCCTATCTACACCAAACTCGGGCACGTTATCTGCCACGCCCTCCCGACGCGAAATTTGGTGTCAATCGGCCTCTAGGTCGGGCTACTAAGCGTTTATCAAATAACACTCCCATAGACATACATTAATTTTACATCTCCGTAACTGCATGACCGTTTCATTTATAACTCTGGTCGTTTATTCTCCATGGGCCTGCCGAGCCATGCCGGGGCCCGTGAAGAACAAATCATGGTGGGCCTGGGTCGACTGGCACAGCGTCCGCAGGACGAGGGGGGTGGCTGGAGCCGGAAGGCTTGGACCCCACTTACAACAGCTTGCAGTTCTAGTTTTATTTTTATTATTGTGATTTTGTATTTTTGTATGAGTAAGCAGAGTCAAATTCCTCGTATGTGTACACATACCTGGCAATAAAAGCTGATTCTGATTCTGAAAACTTGTTATTTATTAGAGTCTTCATGGTGGTGAGGGTCCAAAGCTTGGAGTGATTGTTTAAACACACCTGCTAAAGCACAGGTATGTTTAAGATGGTTTTAAACAAGATTTTAGCCTTTTTAATATGAATGTAAAAATATAGATCCCAGTCCCCTGCATGCCTTCAAGTGACGGAGGGGAATGTGCTTCCAAGTCAAGCAAGGTATGATAATTGTCGCATTGCTCATGTTTTGTGAAATGTTTCTTTTAAAGTGTTTTTATGTATCTTATTGTGTTTCTGTTTGTCTTTTGTTTTAAATAGACGTTATTAGGAGAGCCAACCACTGTTTTTCCCACCTGTTAGATTTCTTGTGCTCACACTAGGTCATTGAATGGGCCATATCTTGGGTTTCTGTCTGTATTAAAGGGGGAAACTGAAGGGTAGAGTAACCATTTTGCATGGGTGCTTTGTGTAGTTAGTGTGCTGTGTGCAGTTACATTTAGTGTTATTTCATAGTATTTGATTTAATTTGGTTTGAGCGTGTGGTTTATTTCTTCATTTACCTACCAGTTTGGTTATAAAGTATTTTGGTGCTCAGCTCTACATCAGTTTCCCTGGCAATGCAATCTAGTCCTGAATTGTGTGTTTTCTTTTTGCTTCGTTGTGATGTAATATAAATTACTTACATTCCTATACTGGTATAGCAGCCTCTGGTTCCAGTTTCTTCTGGCACTTGTGTATTAAGTAGCATTTGGTTTACATATATATGCACTAAGTGACAGTGTATATATTTATGAGGGGGGTATGGATGTAGTTCAGTGGTTAATGCTGTTACCCTTCATGTGGGAGACCAGAGAACGATTCCCACTCACTGCATCTGTCATTGTAGCAGGTCTGGGGGTTATGGGGACACGATAACATTCTTTCAATTTTTGGGGGGGATAAAAGTGACAGCGAAATCACTAAATGTACATGGAAGAGGAAAGTTTTTTGCCCATTTCATAGTAGATGATTATTCATTATCTATTACTTATCAATGTTGTTCGGTGTCTTTATATTTTTGGATGAATGCAACCTAAGCTGTACCCTTGTATGGAGACCGATATTAAAAGGTCATGCTGTCTGTCAGCCTCTCTTGACATATTGTTGTTTGTTTGTTTATATATATTTATATACAAGTGTCTTGTACATTGTTTGTCTTTATTTGTGTTTTGTAATAATAATAATAATGAGAAACTTGATACTTGCTTTCTTATAACTGTCGTTTATATGTTTGAAAATTCAGTAAATAAAGTTGAAAAAAAAGAATTGAAGTGGAATTTGGACAAATGGAGCAAACACCACATCCCTTTGTTTTTTAAAACCAAGAACACGCTAAGACAGATACTGGTACACCCCAAAGACCACACACCCAAACACAAGAAAAGCAATCTAGTGTATGCAATCCAATGCAGTGAGGAACGCACAGACCTGCATATTGTGGAAACTAAACAACCACTGTACAAACGCATGGCTCAACACAGAAGGGCTAACTCCTCAGGTCAAGACTCAGCAGTTTACTTACATCTGAAGGATAAAGGATACCCGTTTGAGAATCACCAGGTGCACAGTTTAGACAGGGAAGACGGATGGTTTGAAAGAGGTGTCAAGGAAGCCATTTACACCCGGGTTGAGAAACCATCGCTGAACAGAGGAGGGGGTTTATGCCACCACTTATCCCCCACTTACAATGCTGTCCTTTCATCACTTCCTTCACTGAACAAGTAATTCCACTTGGCCTCAGTTGAAGATACCAACGAACCAGTGGTATCGACAATCCTAGCTAACAATCCCTCAGAGGTTAAATAGCTGAGTTTCCCTACCAGCCAGTCCGAACTGAAGAAGTCTCTTGGATGAGGGACGAAATGTTCTAGTGTTATTTCAACCAAGTCCAGTTGCCCTTTACCTCAGCCTTCGTTGTATTACAGGAGTATGCCACATCATGTAGCACTTCATTTCTTGATGTTGCTGTTGCTAGATGAACAATTAAATATTTGCAATACCATATGTTTTATTCAATAATTAATTAAATATAATTTCTTAATATATCTATCGTAAGAAACCTTATTTCTTGACTGGCCACTCTTTCCTGTCCCAGAGGATGCCATCTTTTTTCCTGGAGTGTCCAAAAATCTGATTTGGGTTTACAGACTGAATGTACCGTAACATTTGTCAGGCACAAAGTGTTGCAAGCAACCATGCCACAGACAGACCAAGAGATCCACTGCAAGCTAGAGGAGAAAACACAAGATTGCCTGATTGCTGTTCTGTTCTCCAATTCACGCTTTTTCTTTTCTCATAAGAGTAGTTCATGATTCTTTATTTTCACATCAATGTTTGTTTAGTAAGACAGAAAGTAGTTAGAAGGATAAATACAATATAAAACAAAGCAAAGCAAGGTAGATTTACAAACTCAATGTTTCCCTGAAACATCACATTGCTCAACTACCATGTTGTGGACACCTTAGTTTTGGCTTTAATATAACTTGTCATTCTAGAAATGAACCCTGACATGACAAGACCTTAGTTATGAAAAACAAAGAGTGTCACAGAACATGAGCATTATAAAAATCATATATATAAACTCATAGGATCAAATAGTTTTAACAATTTTGATAGAGCGTTTGGTCTTGTAAAACCCTGATTGGTATAATGAATCATATGGAGGAGCAGCTGGAAGCAGCGAGCTGCTTATGATGATTTAGCATTAGCAGATTACAGTATGCTTCCCCACATGGAGGCCAGGACGGCTACACCAATGGCAGCGGTCAGGGTCATCTTGGTGGATGGTGCTCCGCTGATCGTAACTGGGTTGCACTTGTCTGTTGAGCAGCAGGTGGTTTGGGTCGTGTAGGAGACACCCAGCAGGATGCCGTTGTTGGTCACATTACAGCTGGTGGATTGAAGGCAGCCCTGGGTGTTGAAGCCCACAGAGGTCAATCCTGTGAAAGCTGAAGAGAAATTATTGTGTTAGAAAGTGGAAAGTAACTTCGTATATTTAAGCAAATAATTTGACTGTTTCTATTTTATTATTGCATTACTTTTTACTCCACTATATGGAAATATTGCACTTTTTACTGCACCACATTAACCATAAGGTGCTATAGTTACTTGTTGTAGTTACTTATGTTTTTATAGTTTTTAAATACACTTTTCATATTTTGCAGATTCATATGTTACATTCAACATGAGATAAGCTATAAAACCACTAATAACTATGACACATTATTTCCTTCACTTCATTACTTCTTTTTTCCCTGTTTTCCTTCATTGATCTGAAAACCTAAAACCCCAAAACTGGAAATGACAGTGAAATTAGTATTTTTTATTTGTTTTAGCTACTTTACTGCTTTTTATAACTACTTTTAAACTAGCATGCAGGATATATGTCCCACTGTGGTATAGTTAATATTGTTTAAGAGATTATATACAGGATTTTATACATTATATACTCAAAACATTAAGGAATTACTACAATGAATCATGTAAAGACGGGACATAAGTATTGGAGTCTGGTTTGTATGTGTGACTGAGTGTCACAGAGAGATTTTAACTGAGGCATGCCTGTGCTGTGGTGTAATGTTTGAAGAGACAGGTTGTAAGCTTTTGGGTAATGAGGAGGTGACTTACTTGCTTTTCCAGTAAAGCAGACGCTGGTGTTGCTGCAGGTCGCTGTAGAAGTGCTTAAGCAGAAGCCCAACAGACCATAATTGCATTGGTTGCAGGTTAGGGACTCCGCTGAAAAAGTTAAAATCAAAAAACACTTTATGTTGAATATGTAAAATGTCATCAAATGTTTGTGTGGTTGAAGGGAACAGAAAAGTAACAGGTTGATTCAGTCAAGCTAATACAACCTTAAACTGTATGAACTGAAATGAATAATCAAATAAGACCTTACTTGCTTTATTTGATTAAGGTCACTCATATTCTTGATATCAACATGAAATTTTTGTAGATAAATAGGGGAATTTCTAATTAATAGTTTTGGGGAATTGCTTGTCCACCACACCCCTAGGCTGTGGTGGAAGAAAAAGTAGATAAACACTGCCCAAGTTAAATAATAAATAAAACTCTAACTTTCAACAATAGTGAATGAAAATATGTGAAAGGACACTAATCACTTGTGTGCTTTTACTAAATGAGGACTTAAAGTAGGATTTTAGCTAATTTTGAGAATTGAAAATTGAGGCAGACTTTTCAGTGGCCAGTATCTCAATATCTGTACAAAAAAAATCTAAATTTCTGCATGGCTAGAATCAAGTAGGCAAGTATAAGAAAATTAAATTTTTTGAAATGACCCCTTTAAAAGCTGCCAAAATGTTTGCTAGATTTTTTTGACCTTCAGATCTTTCTTTCCATTAATACATGTGTGATTGTTAACCTGATTATTGTTGAATCTTACCCAGCATTAAAGATGCCACAGCTGCTATGACTCCAAATAGGATCTTTGCCATCTCGGTGTGTCACTTTGGTTCCTGGTTTCGGCTCAAAGACAAAAGAAAACTTCCACCTGGGTGATCGGATGCTGTGTGTTGGAAAAACTGATGAGCTTGTTTAGTGAGGACAGACTTATATAGTGAGACAGGTGATGGGAGGGGATGAGGAAGGGTTTGTCTTTAGGCCCCTTTTCTTCATCTTTACCTTAGGGGAATGTCAGGGATGATTGATGCATGGTGCCTATTTCAGGATTACCTGGGCCAGCACGCCCCAGGTCTGACAAGTTCCTCCTCCCTTCTGTGTGAGTAGAGGTGTAAACACTCCCCTGGTCCGGGTGGTCTGGGCAGAGAAAGCTAGCAGCTAGCAGCTAGTTAGCAGTTACTTTAGCAAAGTTTTGTAACTGTAAAGCTATATGTCCATCAGGTAAATCCAATGAGAGTTGAGGTAGAGCCACCGGAGGACATAAGAGGGAAAAGCAGAAAATATTTTCTCTATAAAATATGATCCAGTTTAACAAAAATCAGTGAATAAAAAGTTTTTTGATTTGTACCACACAGTAGCGAACTGTGACTCTTAAACCATGGCCCTCTGACCCCCCTCCACTCGTCGTGGAAAAAAAGCATAATACAGTGCGCTCACAGGCCTACATGAAAACGTGTTGGTCATTATGCACATTTATGGTAAATGTGCATAATGACTGCTAGGTTTTTGGTACATTTGGCCAAAAGAGTATATATATAAAACCTTAACATATATGCTAGACAAGATTGCAAAACAGTGGCACAGCGGCCAGAACAAAATCATTGGGCCTGAATTGAATAAATTTGTACGGCAGCAATACATTTGAAAATAACTTAGCCTACCTTTTGATGATGGCATTACTTGAAAACGAAGTTCATCCTTCTGTCCTTTTGGATGAATTGGTTGATGGCAGGGTCATGCAGATGATCATTTGCTTTTAATTCCATCAAGAATTCCTTCTCGATTGAAATTAAGGTGAAGTCTGAAAGGCAGGGCCTCCCCGGTTGTGCTCCTTGGGTAGGTTTTGTGCATTTCAGCGCAGAGAATGACCTCTCCACAGAGGCAGTGGACACAGAGATTGTCAGGATGAGGCATGTGAGAGTAGCCTATACACTTGTACCATGCTTTCTTTCAGTTTTTTTTGTTCGGTGCATAGCCAGGCTGGTTGAAATATGTGCAACAACAACAGCTATCCAACAAATTTGATTAGGCAGCATTGGGAAAATGGTCACTGTATTGCCCAAACTGTTGTGGATCCAAAAGGGCCAGAAGCTTTTTGTATGAAGGACAAAAAATTATGGAAGGCAATGTCTGACACAAACTAAATGAATACCTGAAAATGAATACAAAAAATGCTCAATAAATAAATAAACATTGTATTAAATGCACCAAAAATACATTCAAAATAAATGTAGGCATTAATTCAATTATACAATGATTGATAAATTGATATACCTCTTTTAAGTTGCTTTTTTATTTATTCACCTTTGTATCATTTACCTTATTTGTTAATTTTTCTTTATTTATTATCTATTAATTTGTTCTTTTTCAAATGTATCTATATAAATATTATAAATTTATGCCTTTGTTTTTATATTTTTATCTGTATTATTCGTCCTTTGCATTTTCTACCCTATTTATTTCTGTCTAGCCTTTTTCTAATTATCTATGCATTTCTGCCTCATTATGCAAAAGAGGTTGGCTGTGTCTCAAGGGATCAACTTCTCGCCAATTGGTTGACCAGTCATGCGTCGACTCTACATGCACACTTCAACAAGCCTTGCTCCCAACAGTCAAAACAGAGATGGTCATTCCCTAAGTCATTTCCCTAACATGTTAGTGTTTTGTTTTATTTACTTTTAATGGGCACATGTAACTTGTCAGACAAAAGCACAATTTCATGGGCTATATGTAGTTTTTCAATGAAATCACATATTAATAAACCAAAAAAATGTACCTCCTTATTTTTGGGTGGTGCGGTGGTTAGCACTGTTGCCTCACATCAAGAAGGTTGTGGTTTTGAACCCTGGACATCCTGGCCTTTCTGTGTGGAGTTTGCATGTTCTCCCCCGTGTCTGCATGGGTTCTCTCCGGGTGCTCCGGCTTCCTCCCATCGTCCAAAGACATGCGGACTAGGTTAATTGGTAGGGGTTATGCATTGGTGGATGTTGAACCTAGGTCTGGTCTCTCACACCAAAGCTATGTATCACCACCTCCCAAATTATAATACTTAGCCGTATTGTGCTTTACTTATATGGCAGTGATTGTTTTTTAAGAGTCAGTGTTGATGTTGTTTTGATATCAAGCACTTTGTTTTGCAGAACCCCACCCTCTTTAAATAAACAATGAAACTCTAACTTTCGATTTTAAGGAAAAGGTGTGAAAGGATGCTAATCAGGGTGTGCTTTTACTGAATGGGAACTTGAAGTCGGTTTTTAGGTAATTTGAATGTTTGAAAAAGTCACACAAAGTAAATAAATTGTCTCACTTACCTGCCTTCAAATGTTTCTGTCATCCCAATTCAATGGAGGTGAATATAATTTCAAATGTTGTGCTCAAAGCATTGATAAATGATTAAATTATCGGCAATGTGTCTTTCTAAAAACAACCCGGATTCTATGGGTAATCCAGAAACCTACAGTTTTTAATGGGACTACCTTCTTCCAACGAAAATTGGTGGCGAGTTTTTTTTCTGTTTTTGGTCCTTGCAAGTACAAACAAAATTCAAACACCTACATTGTGATGGAAAAGTGTCAGACTTTTCAGTGATGAATATCTCAAAATCTGGCTAGAGACAAGTACATAAATAAGAAAATGTTTTTTTTTAAATAATTTGGGTGAACTCAGAAGTCTTTTTCAAACATGAAATGTACATTCACCAAAACTTCTTTAACTATAATGCAGCAATTGAGTAAAAGTATAATGAAATTAGTCACGACGTTTAGTCATATCTTTCTTTCCAGTAATACAGGTGTGATCATTAATTGATAACCCTGGTTAGTGTTTAGTTTTACCCAGCATTAAAGATGCAACAACTGCAATAACTCCAAATAAGATCTTTGCCATCTTTATGTGTCGGTTTGGTTCTTAGCTTCGGCTCAAAGACAAAAAAAAAAATTCCAACCAGGTGATCGGATGCTGTGCGTAGTAAAGTGATGAGCCTGTTTGGTCAAGGACAGAGTGAGACAGGTAATGAGAGGGGGCAAGAAGGAGGTTTGTCAGGTCTATTGTCTTCAAGAGTCACTGAGGGAAGGAATGTCATGGATGATTGACAAATGGTGGAAGATGTAAGTGAATACCATGAGCTGTACAAGGGTATGTGCCTTTCGTTTAATTTAAGTTCTTGATCAATTGTCCAGAAAAGAGTAAATAATGTGAATCATAATTTACAGAACCAAAGGTGGAATATTCATATTGATTGTTTTACATGACACAGAAAATCACTAAATCTTCCCCTTTAAGTAGCTGAAACCAGAGAATATTTGGGGTTTTAGCTTGAAAAACAACTGAAATCATTAGCTTCTGACAATCTGACAATCAAACTACTCAATCAATAGATCAGCTCTAAAGCGTATTGTTGTTGCAAGGCATAAAGTCAAACAGTGACTGTGTTTCATCTCTCTACTGAAGAGAGAACATGTGGAGAAAACCACTCAAATTAGAGCCAGGAAATCATTAATTTGTTTTAAACAACTGAAGATGTTGATTCATACTTAGAGCACATCTCCAAAAGTTTGCATCACTAAAGCCTCCAGATCACAAAAATGGAAAAGCATGAGTTGAGAGGCCATTCATAACACATCCTACTTGGATTATATACTTGTTTGTTTGCAAGTGACTTTTCTTTTCTTGGTGGATTTGAACATTAAACCTGCAATTTTCTCAAACCAAAAATGTCAGTTCTGTGCCCAGACCTGATATCAGGACAGTGTCCTCATAACAGCAGCAGCACTAAAGTTACTGAAACCTGCAAGATGGCAGCGAGCTGAGAGACCTTTATGCATTGTTCAGACTGCCAGCCCAATTCTGTTTTTCAGATTTTTCCTGATTTTCGAAAGTCTGGACAGCAAAAGCCCCACATGAAATGTGATTTTTGCATATCTGATCCAAACAATATTTGGAAGTGGTTTGAAATGCGATACCAATGGGATTTCCACATGTGCATCTCAATCTGGGCGCACAAATCAGATTTCAAGGTCTTTTGCACACAAAACCAGTGTGACAGAGGTGCACTAGAGCAGCTGAGAAGAATCCACGCTGCGTGCTGTCAAAACAACGTGATTGTTTGGAGGGTTAGATGATAGATCTTTGCTTCACCAGAGTACATTGTTACTGATGGCTACATTGTTAACATGCTGAAAGGTTGATGACGTCTGGACACACAAATCTGATCTGATCACTTGCAAAATCAGTGGTGTCTAAAAGAGCTGATATGAGAATCAAATCTGATTTGCCTGCAGTTGGAACAAAGCCTTTGAATTGGAAAACCAAATCACACCAATAAACACCACACAGGAGGAAGTTATTTTTCCCTAGTTTAGATATTTGTTGCATTTTTCAAATTGTGTACATAACCCATCCATCCATCCATCCATCCATTGTCAACCACTTATCCTGTGTACAGGGTCGCGGGGGGCTGGAGCCAATCCAAGCTGACATCGGGGCGAAAGGCAGGGTAGACCCTGGACAGGTCGCCAGTCCATCGCAGGGCCACACATAGACAAACAACCATGCACTCACTGACAATTTAATTAACCTAGTCCGCATGTCTTTGGACGGTGGGAGGAAGCCGGAGCACCCGGAGGGAACCCACACAGACAAGGGGAGAACATGCAAACTCACAGAACCCACGACGTTCTTGCTGTGAGGCAACAGTGCTAACCACGCCACCATGTGTACATAATCCATTTTACTAACAACATTCAGACAGTAACTTATCTTTAATCATTTGTGTTGACTACATCTAAAGGTCGGTCCGACACATTTTAAATTGCTAGAATCTAACAAACGCTTTTACCCCACAGTTTGAGTATTGTGCAGTGTATTTTTCACAAATATCGAAAAATTAAACTGGGTAAATACAGAATTGATGGAGTTATTTAAAAACCTGAACAAAAAAAAATTCTTTTACAAACACTATCAGACATTAGCCAAGACAATTTACATTAACACGTAAATAAAGTGACCACATAGCATCCATCCATCCATCCATCGTCAACCGCTTATCCTGTGTACAGGGTCGCGGGGGGGCTGGAGCCAATCCCAGCTTACACTGGGTGAAAGGCGGGGTAGACCCTGGACAGGTCGCCAGTCCATCGCAGGGTGACCACATAGCAAATGGCAATAAAGGAAAAGAAATATTAATAGAAGCTTTGAAATCTATATACTATATACCAACAATACAGCCGGTCAAAGGCAATTCATTAAAAGGACAAGTTCTTTTTGAGAAAAAGGCTTATTGCCCTTTTTCCATAGAGTTAGATAAGTAGAACACATTCATCTGTGTATGGGAAACATTTTGCAGAAGACAGCCGACCCGCATGAACCTGATGTTTCAGCGAGGGCTACGTGAGAAATGTCATGTTCAGGCTAAGACAATACGAGGCAGAGAATGGCGGATCATGCCTTTACCATTGTAGGATTTGCAAAATTGCGCTCCCGGACAAGTAGGATGCACGTAACGCCGAATTAGGATGTTGCATGAATATTGATCTGACTGAGGTTGCATTTTCAAAATCTGACCTGTATCTGATGTGGACCACATACGAAAAGTGGCCCAAAGCTAGCTTTGATACGAGAGTAAGGCGGGGCCCCGCTTTAATTTGCAGGGCCATACGCATCGTGCATAGTGAGCGTAAAGGACGGTCCAGCTCTGGCAGTTATATATATAAAAATGGTTGGATAAACGATAGATGTTTCCAGTGTCTACCCTGTCTCTTGCCAGTGTCAGCTGGGATTGGCTCCAGCCGCTCCGCGACACTCTATATAAGCTAATGGATGTTTGAATGGAAGATGTTAAAAGAAGAGCAAGTAGCAGAGGCAACAGACATTTTTCAATGTTTGTCTTTATTTTCACATCAATGTTTGTCTAGTAAGACAGAAAGTAGTTAAAAGGATAAATACAATATGATTTTAAAAAAAACAAAGCTAAACAAGGTAGATTTACAAACTCAATGTTTTCCTGAAACATCCCATTGCTCAACTACCATGTTGTGGACACCTTAGTTTTGGCTTTTATATAACTTGCCATTCTAGAAATTAACCCTGACATGACCTTAGTCTAGTGTGACAAATAGTTTCACAGAATGTGAGCATGAATAGTCATACTTATAAACTCATAAGGTCAAATTGTTTATTTTTGATGGTTCTTTTGGTCTTGTAAAGCCCTGATTGGTATAATGAATCATATGAATGGGTTTCAGGAGCAGCTGGAAGCAGCGAGCTGCTTATGATGATTTAGCATTAGCAGATTACAGTATGCTTCCCCACATGGAGGCCAGGACGGCTACACCAATGGCAGCGGTCAGGGTCATCTTGGTGGATGGAGCTCCGCTGATTGTAACTGGGTTGCACTTGTCTGTTGAGCAGCAGGTGGTTTGGGTCGTGTAGGAGACACCCAGCAGGCTGCCGTTGTTGGTCACGTTGCAGCTGGTGGATTGAAGGCAGCCCTGGGTGTTGAAGCCCACAGAGGTCAATCCTGTGAAAGCTGAAGAGAAATTATTGTGTTAGAAAGTGGAAAGTAACTTTGTATATTTAAGCAAATAATTTGACTGTTTGTGTTTTATTACTGCATTACTTTTTACTCCACTATATGGAAATATTGCACTTTTTACTGCAATACCCTAACATAAGCTGCTATAGTTATTTATGTTTTTATAGTTTTTAAAAACACTTTTCTTGTTTTGCAGATTTATATGTTACATTCAACAGGAGATAAGCTCATAAAACCACTAATAACTTATTAATACATTATTTCCTTCGTATCATTACTTCTTTTGTTCCCTGTTTTCCTTCATTGATCTGAAAACCTTAAACCCCCCAAAAACTTAAAGTGAAATTTAAAATGAGTACTTTTATTTTGGCCACTTGACTACTTTTTATAGCTACTTTTAAACTAGCATGCAGGGCTAATTTTCCATTGTGGAATAGCTACTATTAGTTGAGAGCCCATGTGCAGGATTTTATACACTATATCTGCTCAGGTCAGATACTGGTTTGTATGTGTGACAGGGTTTCACAGTATTTGGGAGTGATTTTAACTGAGGCATGCCTGTGATGTTGTATAATGTTTGAAGAGACAGGGTGTAAGCTTTTGGTCAATGAGGAGGTGACTTACTTGCTTTCCCAGTAAAGCAGACGCTGGTGTTGCTGCAGGTCACTGTAGAAGTGCTTAAGCAGAAGCCCAACAGACCATAGTTGCATTGGTTGCAGGTTAGGGACTCCGCTGAAAAAGACAGGTGAAAGCACAGAAGTTAAAATCAAAAAACACTTTATGTTGAGCATGTGCAAAGTCATCAGATGTTTGTGTGGTTGAAGGGAACAGAAAAGTAGCTCATAACAGGTTGATTCAGTCAAGCTAATACAACCTTAAACTGTATATAGAGCTCTAATGAATAATAAAATAAGATTCATATTCTTGATATCAACACGAATATTTTGTACACAAATATTTGTAGAACTTTCCAAAACTTACCACTAATATGCTTTACTTATATTGCAGTGATTGTTTTTTAAGAGTTGGTGTTAATGTTGTTTTGAAATCAAACACTTTTTGGAATCAGATGTAATGTATTGTTGTAAGTCTCATCCCTGAACATTAAGTTCAGTCCACATTGTTTTGAGGAACCACACCATGGGCTGTGGTGCAAGAAGAAATCAAAAAAAATCAACACCTCAGTTGTGCTGGGATGGCAGCAGACTTAAGATAAGTAAGTGAGTAAGAAAACAGATTTTTAAAATAATTTGGGTTAACTCAGAAGTCTTTCTCAGAGAACCTGACATGTTCACTACAAATCTACATTCACCAAAACCTCTTTAACTAACTAACAAACAATAGTAAAAAAAATATGACAAAATTAGTCACAACTCCTCAAAGCTAAAAAGCTGTCAAGTTTGTCATATCTTTCTTTCGGTAATACATTTGTGATCATTATTTAATATTGTGTTTAATCTTACCCAGCATTAAAGATGCAACAACTGCAATAACTCCAAATAGGATCTTTGCCATCTTTGTGTGTGTGTTTGGTTCTTGGCGTCGGCTCAAAGACAAAAAAACCTTCTACCTAGGTGATCGGATGCTGTGTTTGTTGAAGGACAGACTTATATAGGGAGACAGGTAATGAGAGGGGGCGAGAAGGTGGTTTGTCAGGCCTTTGTTGAGGGAAGAGTCACAGAGGGAAGGAATGTTATGGATGATTGACACATGGTGAAAGATTTAAGTGAATACCATAAGCTGTACAAAGTATGTGCCTTTCCATTCAGGCTAAAGAATGACTCATTAATCACAGATAGATTCATAAGGCTTAAAATTATACAATACAGTGTATTTTATTGTAAGTTCTTGATCAATTGTCCAAAAAATAGTAAATAATATGAATCAGTTTCCAGAAGCAAAAGTGGAATATTCATATTATTTTACATGACACAGACAATCACCAAATCTTCCCCTTTAAGTAGTTGAAACCAGAGAATATTTGGGATTTTAGCTTGAAAAACAACTGAAATCATTAGTTTCTGACAATCAACTTCTCAATCAATAGATCAGCTCTAAAGCGTATTGTTGTTGTAAGGTGTTAAGTCAAACAGTGACTGTGTTTCATCTCTCTACTGAAGAGAGAACATATGGAGAAAACCACTGAAATTGCATCACTAAAGCCTCCAGATCACAAAGCACAGACTATCCTTGACTCAGGAAATGCGTGACTTGAGAGGCCATTCATAACACATCCTACTTGGATTATTTACTTGTGATTTGTGTTCGTTTGCAAGTGAATTTTCTTTTATTGGTGGGTTTGAACATTAGACCTGCAATTTTCTCAAACCAAAAATGTCAGTTCTGTGCCCAGACTGGATATCAGGACAGTGTCATCATAACAGCAGCAGCACTAAATTTACTGAAACCTGACGAACCAGTTAGTCCTGCAAGATGGCAACGAGCCGAGAGAGCTTTAGGCCTTGTTCAGATTGCCAGCCCAATTCTATTTTTGCTGTATCCAGATATTCGAGAGTCTGGACAGCAAAAGACCCACATGAAATGCGATCTTTGCATATCTGATCCAAACCATATTTGGAAGTGGTTTTAAATGACATTCAAATCGTCTCAGTCTGGACGCTCAGATCAGATTTCAAGGTCTTTTGCACACTTGCAACGTGACGTGAAAACCAGTGTGACAGAAGTGCACCAGAGCAGTTCCAGAATCCACACTGCGTGCTGTCAAAACAACGCAATTGCTTGGAGGGCAAGATGATGGATCTCCGCCTCACCAGCATACATTGTTACAACAACAACCCATACTGAAAGGTTGGTGACGTCTGGACACACAAATCTGATCTGATCACTTGCAAAAACAGTGGTGATATGAGAAACAAATCTATATTTGCCTGCAGTTGGAACAAAGCCTTTGAATTAGAAAACACAACATGGGAGGAAGTTAGTTTTTCCCCAGTTTGGATATTTATTGCATTCTTCAAATTGTCTACATAACCCATTTCACTAAAAACATTCAGACAGTAATTCATCTTTAATGATTTGTGTTAAATAAGGTCAGCCCGACACATTTTAAATTGCTAGAATCTAGCAAGATAAACAAATGCTTTTACCCCACAGTTTGAGTAATGTGCAGTGTGTTTACGACACGAATATTAAAAATAAAACCAGGTAAACACAGAATTGGAGTTATTTGTGCCAAAAAAAAAAAAAAAAAAAAAAAAAAAACCCAAACAAGAAAAATAATTCTTTTCACAGACACTATCAGACATAAGCCAAGACAATTTACATTAACACGTTAATAAAGTGACCGCATAGAGAATGGCAATAAATGAAATGAGTAGCAATTGAAACGTTCATAGAAGCTTTGAAATCCATATACTGGTATTTGAATATTATGACTCTAAAATGACAATACAGCCGGTCAAAGGCAATTTATTAAAAGCACAAGATCAAAGTTTCGAGAAAAATGCTTATTCCACTTTTTTCATAGAGTTACATAAGTAGAATGCATTCATCTGTGCACAGTAAACATGAAGCTACCATGAGGGGACGGTTAGTTTAGCATAAAGACTGGAAACAGGGGCAAACACCTGGCCTGGCTCTGTCCAATGGTAAAAGAATGCATTTACTACAACTTTAAATCTCACAAATTAAGTTGTGTGTGTAAAAACGCAACTTTTTTGACATTTGTGTGGACAATAAACGAATGAGATATGAAGTGTTAATTAGTGAACTTTAGAGGGGCTAGTAGGCACATTTTCTTTGCCTTTGTACAGAGCCAGACTAGCCGTTTCCAGTCTTTATGCTAAGATAAGCTTCAGATTGAATGGACAGAAATGAGAGAGCAATCAATCTTCTAATCCAATTCCCGGCCAAAAAACACGCACACGCACCAAAAAAAGCTGAGCTGCATTGGCATTAATTAACCTACATTTATTCACTATTTTGTGTGAATTGCCTGACATTTGATTCATGTGTCCCCTTAACTAAATGTTATGCTACTTTTTCAAGTGGAGAAAGTTAAGATATACTTTATTAATTGTAGGGCACTTTAAAAAAAACATAGGTTTTTCCATCTTAAATCATCTTTGATGTTACACACTTGTTTTACACTTTAAATTGTCAACTAATATTTTATTATCCCTTGCAGTGAAAAAAGAACAGCTTATTGATTAAACTTCAATTGATAAACACTTAAGCATAATACACCTCAAGGATAATAAACACAAGACCCGTGTGTGTGTGTGTGTGTGTGTGTGTGTGTGTGTGTGTGTGTGTGTGCGCGTGTGCACTTTGTGTCATCTGCTGTATTTTCTGTCAAACCAGGACATTTGCCACAAACACAGCAGTGATGGTGGCAAGGGTCAGGCTGAGGCCGTAGGACCCAGGCAGACCGGGCGCAGCATTACACAGGTCGTAGTCGCAGCACGTCTTGTTCATGGAGTAGATGGTGGAGTTGGAGATGGAGGGGATGTCCTTGAAACTTGTCTTGTTGCACTCGGACACTTTTAGACAGCCCTTCATCTTGATATCCACGAAGCCGGCTGCGGAGTGACAGCAAAAACATGCGATTTAAAATAAACTACAGTGGGTGTGTTTATCATAAAGGAAAATTGCACTTGTGTGGATCACTGATGTGTTTCTAATAGTTTGGGCACAGAAGGAGAAACTGCATCCGGCTTTGGATGAGAAATGCCAAGTTATCCTCCTTTATTGTAGTTACAGTAAGCTACGAGAATGCAAATGGTGGGGTGACTGTTCTTCAGGAGAATGTTGTCCTGTGACATTTTTCAGCTTCTGAGATCCTTACCTGCAGTCCCGAGGCCACTGAAGCATTGTTCATCGCTTTCACATGTAGTTGTAGTGGTTAGGCAGAGTTCTCCGAAGCCAATGCTGCATTTGTAGCACTGCAGAGCTTGACCTGGGGGGGGGGGAATAGAATAGTGAAATTAGCAGAAATAGGTTTGCAGCTCTTGGCAGCACCTGGAGTCTGTCTCAGGCTCAGATCTCCGTCTACACCAGTGTTTTGGAGTTGATCTCCCTGTACATTAAAACGACTGAAAACACACATCTATTGGCCGTTCAGGTACACTGGGCATGCACGTGCCAGTGCAAACATGAGGCAGATGGTCTCTTCCTAGTTACAGAAGATTTGGTGAAAGAATAAAATACAGACAAAGTCTGAGTCATCGTTTCTAAAGTCCTCCGTTTTTGCCCGTCTTCACTAAAACACCCTCCGGAGGTTTGAAACGCAGAACAGGGTTGGCAGCATTTTTAAACTTCTCCGTTTTAGGTCTTCGTTTTCGCCGTTTTTGCACGAGACAAGTTAGGGATTTTGAGCTACATAGAAAAAAACTGAGCCATTTTACCAGTTTACCAGCTATGATAGGTTTCCAGATGCAGAAAAATAACATATAATAGTACCCTGTCTAGAACCTATAAATTCAAACCATTAGTTAGGAACTCTGACTTTGTTTATAGTCCAGGTACAGATCTAAAAAGGTGGTCCCCAGTTCAGGATGGTCATCAGCTCAGGATTGAGCTCACATGCACATTGCACTGTTTATAAAAATGGACAAATTCAGAACAGGGTGTAGGGATAAATATGATGTTTGTCCCAATTCCCTATTACTTGCCAATTGTACGTATATAGTATGTACTATAGTCATTCATAGTACAGCCTACAAGAGATCAATGTACTTTTCCATCTGTGTCAACAAGTTGGTTAATTTGTCTAACTTTATGTACTTGTATGATTTCAGATCTTTGTTTTGTGTTAAAACAGGTGATAAGACAATTATTGCTCATTTTGAAATGAGGCTTTTCTGCTATGTAATGTTATGTTATGGTTAAGAGTAAGCTATTCCCCCCCATCACCGCCCACACTTCATCGGAATATAGTATATCATCAACAGCACATGCAAAAAAAAAACAACAACAACAAATGATCAAATCAAATGTGACAACACTAAAGACTCAAAACCTTAAAATTACTACTCTGGAGTTGGGACAGCTCTAGGCTTTTACCAGGGATGGTGTCTAACAAAGATACTGTTTAGTTTTGGGAAATGCAAGATCCAGTTTTTAGCGTTTGACCCACATTAGGGACTAAAAGTCAGATCTCTCTGCCATTGCTGCTTTTATTTTGTTTCTTTTCCTAAATCTGCTCTTCAAAAGTCGCTGAATGTTACTGGCAGCAAATAAAAATTACATTTTAACTTTGTAACATCATTATCAGGTTACAAATATTATACAACCAATTTTATAAATAAAACCAACCCAGTGGGTAAAATGAGTGGTACTGACTGATACTGGAAATGCTACGTAAGCAATAATGTTATATTAGGCTCAGTAGACCTTTAAGAAGTCAGACGGAAGGGTCAGAACATCTGCCTCAAGTCAAGGTGACAGACAAAAAGAGTTTCTACTAAATTAATTTCCCACCTAATATGCACCTGTAAACTTTGTAAGAAGTTTGGCAGGTAGCTTTTGGAAAAGTACAAAAGTGAACATTTGCCTGGATACTTTCCAAAAAGTCAGCTGACAGTTTTCTGTAGAAGAAGTTTTGTATACATTTTCACTTAAGGTAATTTTTTTTTGGAAGAAAACCCTTAAAATCCCTGGAAATAGTGATACCATCTGTACATAGGTAGAACAAACAACTATTTATAACAAGACAAGCTACTCAATGCTGTCTGTTGCTGTTGTGGTGCACCAAGCCTAAAACAACGGTCGCATGGTCATTGTGAGGCTGAAACCTGTACATGACTCAGAGAACAGGGAGTGGAAATGATACTCAGACACTGCAGTGAACTTCTGTGAAACTATTGTAAGAAACCTGTTGCTCTATTTGTTAAGTCATGGCCATGACTAATTGTTATGGAAAGAACACACTGAACTTATTATCCAACCAGCTTAGTTTAAACTATTAACTGGGCTGTGTTTGCCAATACTTTGATAAAAGGGAATCCCCAATTCCTACAATGAAATTAATTTATGTTACTTCTGATGCACTGTACAGCTAAATTTTATGCATTCAAACCAGTGCCTCCTGTAGCAGAACAGCAGAATAACTGTATGACAAAGACTGTAATGTAGTAATTATATAGTTGTTAGTTGGGTCTGGGCTTTTATTCAAAAATTCAATATTAAGCTGTAGTGTAATAAGCCATAACAAGGAATACCAAGGGAAATCAAATTCTCCTACACACATTTTATTGTTTGTACTTGTGTAAAGTTTAATTGGGGAAATAATTTTTTTTTACCCTGCGGAGCCAAGTCAGGGCCTAGAGCATAAAATATTTTGAAGTGGAAACAAGATTAGCCTTTTTCTTGGGTACAACAACAAACCAACAGAATAAAAACCTGAATTCAGCTTGACAAAATGATACTTTATTTTTTGCCATTGAGGGACATACTTTCCATTGCGTCACACTCAAAAATTACAGGCACCGATATCTTTGGTGAACCTTTTCACTATTAACATATTAGTAAATGGTAGATAATTTGGATAACATTTAAAGCAAAGCCCAAAGATCTATAGACAAAATAAAACCAGTATAATCGTGTCAGACAGTTCAATTTCTGTCAGTCTGGTGAGATAATCCCAGTTCTTAACTTTTTAAAGATACAAACACACCCATACCCTTTTACACAAACAGCAACGCCCCCAGTTAAGCTTATTTTCGTTACAGTGACAATCCTCATGTCCTCTCTTATTGCTCCAAACTGATAAATAATCTCATATATAGAAATTAAAATGTACCTTGTTGTTAAAATAAGAGATTTCTTTATCAAGGAAACACAAATCATTTACCATATTATTAAACAGCTTATCTGACAACAAATATCTTACTCGCTCACTTTTTTAAACCCTACCCTGCTAGTAAAATGGCACACAATTCTTTAAAGGTAAATCACAGAAAAGTAAAGTGTCGTGTGACCTCAGTGGTGCCACACCTGGCAACACTTCAGCACTCTGCAATGCTGACTGACTTGTTTTCCGGGAGACATCTGAAATCAAGTATGACCTGATCCTCTGAGGTATTAAGTAATAAATCACAGTTACACAAACAAATGTGTTGCCAAAGACTTCTGTGAGCATCAGCGATTCCTTGTCAAGGTTAGGAGAGTCTGAGACAGTCTGTAGGTGAAGTCACATGGGAAAAGTGAAGCTAATGATGTTCAATTACAGCAGACTGTTCACTGCAGCAGAAGTATCTCAACATATAATTGGTTGTGTTGTTACCTTCATTAATTGCAACAGCACATTTCAGGCTATGGATCAAGATGTTAAAGTATGTAAAAAAAAAAAAACAGGTGCAGTCAATCAATTTTGACAACCAGGTACAGTAGGCAGATCAATTAGTAATGACGCAGATGGGTGAGGATATATCAGCCTAGACATGCATCATTATTGGTCCATTTCAAAAGCCACCCTTCTTTATGCTTCTTCAAATATAAATGGCATTTTGTATGAGGAAATGTTTCCGTCATTACTTTTATATCACTTCCCCTCACACTGTTGCCAACAACCTTCATGACAGGTGCATGAGAAAGGACAAAACTAATGAGAAGCAGCCGCAGCGCTTCAAAGAGAAAGTCCTGCAAAAATGTCTTAAACCAGCAGAGGTGGGGAAAGTACTCGGAACCTTTACGGAAGTAAAAGACGCAATAAAACAGCTAAGAAATACTTTTTACTTCATTAAAGAAGTGCCATCGGCAAGGTGTGAGAATCCAAAAGGGCTTTTTAGCTATGTATTTTTATTTATATATCTAAATAGATATATCCATAAATCCACCTATATATTTAAAATATATATTTTATGGATACTTTTGTTTAGGTTTGGTCAATCTATAATAATGTATAATAAAGTATAAGATTATCATATTGTTTGTAAATAAATTCTTCATCTGCATCTAATAAGTAACTACAAATAAATGTAGAGAATGAGTAGAGTTCAAGTATCTCAACATTGTCCTAAAGTACTTGATTAAAGAAATCTGTTCTACAATTTAAACCCCTTCTAAAGGATTTACAACCATAAATACGTAGAATTACCAGAATTTATAAAATAAAGAGGTGCTGCACACCAATAACCTCAAATAATGAGGCTAATGGTTAAATTGAGGATGATATGTTAATACTACAGTGGGTTATTCTGCCTCAACTTTAGCAAAAATAAATAGAAATTCAACTGGATTAAAGCTAGGGTAATAGTTGAGAAACTATTAAGAGAGCTAGATTTTGAAAGTATCCAACTGAACCTCCCCCCCCAAAGTATTTGAGTTAGGGTATCGTATTCAAATAAATTCCCTGCCCCGGCTGTAAGTGTTTATAGAGTCTCTGCCTTTGCCATACAGTTTGATAGACTGCTTGAACTCTGGGGTGTGGCACAATAATAGTCACCTTCAATGTTCAGTGTCAGTCTTACACTGCCCTCTACTGCTCTGTCACTAAAACTACAGATCATAGTGCATCAGCACTTCAGGTTATGCTCAACCTCAGAGCCATTGAGGAAATGCAAAAAACTGCAGTTTATCAACTGCCCACTTGGCTGGCTCCAAAAGCAAGTAAATCTCCATGTTATACTGCCCAGCTTTACAGCAAGATGTTTACAGTCTGTAAAAAAAACTGGTTGGGTCTGTATAGCTAATATCCTCCTTCATGATAACTGTGAAGGGTGAATTTTTATATTAATTATATCTTTTAAATTTTGAGTTACATGTAGGTGCCCTCTCGGGTGGCTAGCCAGTAGGTGATTCAGCAACTAGGCTTCATTCAGGCCACCTCAGCTACATTTCTTTGCCCATTTTTGGATTAACCAGAGTCAGGCACTGCCAATATGGCGACAGCTGGATCCATTCACATTTAGCTTCCCAACAGCTCCAAACCTGTGGCTGACGTCACGCATTATAGAGTCTATGGTTCTACTAAGAACATGCTGGGAAACTCAAAACACAGAGGGAAGGAGAACAAATAATAAAATTAAAACCCTGTTAAATCTTATAACAAGGAAGAAAATAATAGAAGTGATTACAAGAAAAACAGCCCTGGTATCACTGATATTGTGATTTGTGAGGTGTCAGTACCCAAGATTTCCATCTGAGGGCATTGCAGTTGTTTCTAGTTACAACAAGTAAGGCAAGAGCATATTCAATGAGTGACCCAACAGAAGCAGTCGAAAAGCAGTCAGGAGTGGCCCAATCCAGCATCCCACAAGCTGAAAATTACATTTTTATGTCCAATTCACACATAAAAGCTACGTTTTAGAAAGTTTTGTTCTTATTCATCGTTTTTATTTCCACTTGTTCCCCTCAGTGAGCTAACGAATTTAAACTCACACTGTGAGTCATGTGCTACAACACAAAACCCAGTGAGCAAAGTTATGACGAGATGGTCATGAGACGCAAACAGGTTTATGAGAAGTAATACCTGAGTAAATATGCAAAACGTGCCATCAAAGCTTCCTCTGTACTAGGACAATTATCATCCTCACACTACAACCTCACAAAAAGATTAAGATACACCCGGGCGGGTCTGGTGTGTTTTGTAAATATTAGATGTAGATGTTGATAGATTATAGCTCACAATGCCAACATCCTTGAAGGACAGGAGTAGCAATAGCGGCCATGGTAATGTCAATTTTGGGTTTCAAATGCTGCAGGCAGAAATGACAAAGATTAGCTACAGCTATAAATACTTTTAATTGATGACTGGATTGGCATGCTTGACAGTATAGTTATGACTCAAATAATTATGTTCTCCATAAGACTGCAGTAATACAAGTTTGTTAAAAGAAAAAAAGAAAAGAAAATTTATATCTTGTTTTTATACCGTAACGTCCATTTGGTTAGTGTAAATTCTGAACTGATTATCATTGGTTCTAGTTTTACTTGTTTTGTGTTTTTATTTTATAATTTCTTTTCTCCTAATTTCTTTGTACACACAGTGTTTTATTATCATTTGTTTCAGTTCTTAAGCATGCATGGACAGCCAAAAGTTAAATTACAATGACTACATTATTTGTGTGTACAATGGGTACATTTGTATTTTGCACTGGTAAACCCTGAAAAAAAGCAATAGATCAAAGATCAAAATGCGGCTACCATGAATCAACATCACCTCCATTTCAGTATTTTGTTCAATCAACAGCCTCTCCAGACTCCTCCCAACTTCAGAAATTTACTGACATCTGAGTGTAGTAGCCAGTTCAACAGAGGAGTAGTATAGTAGTAGTATTACAAAGTATTTTTGTCTATTTCGGGGGGAACCTCTCAGTAGCCTGTAACATGTTGACTTCAAAAATCAACCAGACCACCGTCTGACATCATCTACTTTTCTCCAGAGGACACACACACATATTAGCCCCTGTGAAACCGCAGTACTGTTGTGTAAATATCTGCACTTGTGAATCACTCTGTCACAAACAAGTATTTAAGTAAAGGATTCATTAGTTGAGGTCAAAGTTTCACCTGAAAGTATAAAAAGCAGCCAGAATGGGAATATAGTTTCTGCTATGATGGGTGTGATTTGAAATATGAGACATGAGACAGAAACAACCTAGGTGAGAGGATCCCAAGGACAAAAATCTGTTACAATTGCCAAGTCTGCAGAGCTTCAGTAAAATTAATTATGAGACTTGGGCAGAGCCTCAACTGTTACAGAGTGAGGAATTTCTCATGCAATTGCTGGCAGGTTGTGGCAGGACTCAACCTTATAAGGGGGAGGAAAAACACAAAAGAGAACATCCTGCTGCCACAAACAGGCAGCCTCACCCTAAGCTGTAATAACAGTATCAGAGGAAAGCCTGGGATGTGCACAGAGGGTAAACACAGCAGCAAATTAGGGTTGTGACGAGATCTTGCAATATTAACATGTTATTTCTCGTCTACGTAAAAAGCTGTCTCACAATATCAGCATGACGGAGTGTGAGGATGAAATTAGCATAGAAGATGCCCCCGCACTCGTTTGTGTGGGAGGATTTTGGGTACCCGGTGGAAACAAACAGTGACAGAGAAGACATTAACAACATGAAAGCAACATACAAAAATGCAGCTCCATTGTATTCCACTTTCAGTCGAATAAAAGACAGTCATATATTCTGTATTTGAAGATTTGTTAATAATATAGGGTTAAAATATCGTCTCATTCTTGTGAACCCAATATCGTGTACCATGTATCGTCTTGTCTCGTGTTCTAAGTGTATCGTCACACCCCTGGTAGGAATCGAACTTATTTGGTGTGCTGTCAAATCTCATGATGGGAAATCTTCTGTAAAATGTCCAAGGCTGTGTCCTTAAAATATCATGTTTTACCAAATCAACAGTCCAAAAGTTACAGTTTGCTGTCAGATATGATGGAGACATACAGCAAATCCTCACATTTGATAAGGTGATATCAGACAACGATGGGCCTTTTTGCTGGACTGAACTGTTTCCACTGTTTATCCATCACTTTTAGCTCAACGTTTCTGTTTATCCATCGACCGGTTATTCGTCACCTTTGGCTGTTTCAACTGTTTATCCACCGCCTTTAGCTAACTATTTCATCACAGTTTTCAAACTTTTTCCAACTATCCTAAACCATTTGGGATGACTGGTGGCTTTTTCAGTTAACACTGAGAGAAACACAAAGTGTTTGAATGTAACAACCTAACAGGTTATGGCTAAGTGAGCATGTGCTTCACTGTTCATCTGAAACAGTCAAATATTCATCAGTTCAACTAAAACACACCCTACAAAAACAAGAAGAGATGGATTATGATGATATGCTACATGACTACAGTCATCTGAAGTGTAGGCAGTTTGGGGTATTTGTTTAAGATTATGCTAAAGACCTGGGAGGTATATTTTAATTAGTGATGCATCACTGAGTAAATTGTCAAGAATTGTCACAACCCTAAAATGATATGAACACACCCAGACAAGCCTCAAGCTCTGCACTCAGCAACACTGAGCACAGTAAACGTTGGAAGTGCTATATTGCAGACACATCCCAAAGACAGTCAAATATTAAAGTTTTTAGTCCAACAAAACGTGTTTGACCGGATCTGAATGTTGCCAGGAAACAAATTAAGACTTTTGTCGTTAATGATTAAAAAATAGGTCATGGAAAACAAAAGCCTCGTGCAATGGCAAAATCTAGAAATCTACTCTTCTAAAATTAACAAAAATGGAAATAACACTTTTTAACAATACTGCAAACACATGATATTTTAAGGGAATGCAACATTAAAAAATAAATAAATAAAAAAACAGACGCCAAACCTCACGAGTTTTTTGTCGAGAAAACTATTTTACGTTCTCTTTGAAATATGAGGCTGCTCAGTCTGCATTCATTATCTTTAAAATATAAAGTAAGATAAACGCTTTAATGGAAAAAAAACATGCATTTTTAACAAAAAAATGCATAATTTAAAGTAGGCAATTTTCTTACCGATTACAAAGCAGAATCCGACCGCAAGGAGCTGGAGAATAATTCTGTTCATCTTGAAAAAATACAGAAATAAGGTCAGAAACTCGACTGTAAGGAAAGGTTGGCTGCTTGTGAGGACTCAAATTCCGTTAAACAATTTTTTTAATCCGCCATGCTGTATTTATAATCTTCCACCTCCCATGCAAACGTCACCGTTATCCAATCGGAGGAGTTCTTCCGGGAAACCCACCCAGTATGTTTTCTTTGAGCTCTCCCACCTGTGTGGTTCACAGGTAGGGGGATATTAGCCTATATCTCATGAGGGAGTTAAAGTGTAGGAAAGTTGTGAAACAGGGAATTAATTGGTGCTTAAAGTGATTTTTTGGTGATGTTGTATTTAACCCCTCACATGTCTGTTTTTATGAAGTAGGCTATGTGATCATTACAATAGCTTTGGTAGTGCTCAGAAGTGACTTTATGACTTTTACCTACAAATGATAAACATATTAAATACATCATATTCTTAAAGATAAAACAAGTGATTAGTACTATTAAGCAGTGTCTAATTTGTGCTTTTACTTTTTGTACTTCAAGTACATTTTGCTGATAATACATCCAAGTATGTATTTAAATGCTTACTTTGTTGTATTAGTGCTTTAACACCCATATAAGATAAATACATAATGAGCTAATTTACAAGTCCAGATTCACATCAAGCAAAACCCTTTGTTGAACTATACCTGCTCCGCTCTGTGTCCTGCGTTTGCGTCCTCCAACCTGCCTCCACACCACGATCGTGACACTAATTGGTGGGGGCAGGGACGTGCACAGGAATTTTGAAGGGCAGTTGCTCTGACCTGAAAAAAGGCACTAAACACAGTATCCAAAATGTATTAACAATATAAATGTCACCAAAATACATATGAGAAAAAGAGTTCCTTATATTATTGTTTATTGTTTTTTTTAATCATTATTATTTTTTATTTTTTTTCCTTTTTTTTTTTATTTGAAAATAAATAATCTAGATTGAATTGACAGATGGGGAAAACTCGCTTCTAATAAAATATTAAATAAAAAAACGCTTAGATTTCGGAAAAAAATACAATCCTTTTTTAACCTTTTGGCTTCCCGTACATTCAGTTGCGCTTCTAGCTCGTATTCACTTCTGTTGGTACGTATCACGTATGGTAACTGGGCAAAACTACGCATGATTTGTTGTAGTATGATTGCATAAAGGAAGGAAACAGGAATTCCGGTAGGGAACAGAATCGACTGACGTGCAGGCAGCGCTGCAGCAGTGCAGCCACTTAAACAGAGTTTGCCCTTCCCCTACTGACTTTCACTTTCGGTGCCCGAATGGAAGTGAATGAGGCTTTGCGATCGCGATTATTTTTTTATTTAATTTTTTTTTCTCGGAAGGGCGAGTCGGAAGGGCAACTTGAGTCAGGAAAGGCAAACGGGCAGTTGCCCGGGCAACCAGAGCAACCCCCCTGTGCACGTCCCTGGGTGGGTTCCGGGTGAGAGCTTCTAATTTGAGTTAGAAGTACAAGTGATAGACAGTGCGCAGGATTCTTTGTTTTCTAGAGAACAACCCCCCCCAATATACAGTGGGTACGGAACGTATTCAGACCCCTTTAAATTTTTCACTCTTTGTTTCATTGCAGCCATTTTCCAAAAATCAAAAAAGTTCATTTTATTTCTCAGTAATGTACACTCAGCACCCCATCTTGACAGAAAAAAACAGAAATGTAGAAATTTTTGCAAATTTATTAAAAAAGAAAAACTGAAATATCACATGGTCATAAGTATTCAGACCCTTTGCTCAGTATTTAGTAGAAGCACCCTTTTGATCTAATACAGCCATGAGTCGTTTTGGGAAAGATGCAACAAGTTTTTCACATCTGGATTTGGGTATCCTCTGCCATTCCTCCTTGCAGATCCTCTCCAGTTCTGTCAGGTTGGATGGTAAACGTTGGTGGACAGCCATTTTCAGGTCTCTCCAGAGATACTCAATTGGGTTTAAGTCAGGGCTCTGGCTGGGTCATTCAAGAACAGCCACGGAGTTGTTGTGAAGCCACTCCTTCGTTATTTTAGCGGTGTGCTTAGGGTCATTGTCTTGTTGGAAGGTAAACCTTCGGCCCAGTCTGAGGTCCAGAGCACTCTGGAAAAGGTTTTCGTCCAGGATATCCCTGTACTTGGCCGCATTCATCTTTCCCTCGATTGCAACCAGTCGTCCTGTCCCTGCAGCTGAAAAACACCCCCACAGCATGATGCTGCCACCACCATGCTTCACTGTTGACTGTATTGGACAGGTGATGAGCAGTGCCTGGTTTTCTCCACACATACCGCTTAGAATTAAGGCCAAAAAGTTCTATCTTGGTCTCATCAGACCAGAGGATCTTATTTATCACCATCTTGGAGTCCTTCAGGTGTTTTTTAGCAAACTCCATGCGGGCTTTCATGTGTCTTGCACTGAGGAGAGGCTTCCGTCGGGCCACTCTGCCATAAAGCCCCGACTGGTGGATTGCTGCAGTGATGGTTGACTTACTACAACTTTCTCCCATCTCCCGACTGCATCTCTGGAGCTCAGCCACAGTGACCTTTGGGTTCTTCTTTACCTCTCTCACCAAGGCTCTTCTCCCCCGATAGCTCAGTTTGGCCAGACGGCCAGCTCTAGGAAGGGTTCTGGTCGTCCCAAACGTCTTCCATTTGAGGATTATGGAGGCCACTGTGCTCTTAGGAACCTTAAGTGCAGCAGAAATTTTTTTGTAACCTTGGCCAGATCTGTGCCTTGCCACAAGTCTGTCTCTGAGCTCTTCAGGCAGTTCCTTTGACCTCATGATTCTCATTTGCTCTGACATGCACTGTGAGCTGTAAGGTCTTATATAGACAGGTGTGTGGCTTTCCTAATCAAGTCCAATCAGTATAATCAAACACAGCTGGACTCAAATGAAGGTGTAGAACCATCTCAAGGATGATCAGAAGAAATAGACAGCACCTGAGTTAAATATGAGTGTCACGGCAAAGGGTCTGAATACTTATGACCATGTGATATTTCAGTTTTTCTTTTTTAATAAATTTGCAAAAATTTCTACATTTCTGTTTTTTTCTTTCAAGATGGGGTGCTGAGTGTACATTACTGAGAAATAAAATGAACTTTTTTGATTTTTGGAAAATGGCTGCAATGAAGCAAAGAGTGAAAAATTTAAAGGGGTCTGAATACTTCCCGTACCCACTGTATGTGTTGTACAACAGCAGCCCTTAGACGAAAAGTCACAGATAGCACCACTTTACATCATCGATGTGTCTAGCTTGCACAGCAAAAAATTTGGAATCAATCTGATTAATTCTGTAGGAGGTGTTCATCAAACCCTGTGAAAAACAAAAATGACCTTTAAATTCAAAATGGCTGACTTCCTCTTGGATTTAGGGCTTTTTATGGACATAATATATCTGCCACACAAATTTCATACATTTCGGTGAAAAGTGGCCTGGGGGAGCTTACGAGCTATTTTGCCACACCCATGTGCGACAACCATATGACACGTAATCTCCACTAAGTTTGAATTTTGTGCAAAGTTTTTTTTTAGCATATTTAAGCCACGCAAAATTCAATCCTTCATCCTATTCTGAGCTTGGCAAATGAGTCACAGTGATGAAACAGCAACAACAATAATTTCAAGGAGAGACTTTGGATAACTTTTTAATTCACATAAGCAAGTCTGGTCTCACCCAAAGAAGAGTATTTTTCTGTTTATTTGAAAACGTTTTTGGATAGAGGCAACAAAAGCATTTAGTGGAGTCATGAAAATGCAGTCACTGAGGCATGTTTGTTGTCTATGATCTATTTGATGATGATCTCTGAGTGTGACTTCAAAAAGGGGCATGATTTGGTTTCCTGTCGGAGGGGGGGGGGGTTGGGGAGCAGTCGTGAAATGGCATCTTGAGCGTCATCATTTTGAAATGCTTTGCTAAGAGGGAGGTTGTTTGGGCTCAGTGAATTGCCTCTATTGTTTTGCCCACAGATCCTGTGAGTTTCTCAACACTTGTCACTTGGAAAGAGGGAGTGTGGGAGAAACTACCCAAACTAATACATAATCCGTCTGTCACAGCAATGTCAGCTAAAGTCAAATTGGAAGTGAGATGAAGATGAAGAGGAACTGGGAAGTTTAAATATTAAAATCCTGTGTCTGTAAAAGGGACTTTTAAATGTCAAAGTGGAACCACATCTATACAAAGTGACCTAAATAAAAAACTATTCAGCCCTTTGTCTTCTAACTGCATTTAAAAGTCACATAATAAGTTAAGCGTAAGTCACCCGTGTGTAGCCAAGGGATTTCAGTTGATTGTAGGATGAGTACACCTGTATCTGGAAGGTCCAACTTTTGGTGAGTCAGTATCGTGGCAAAACCTTCAACTTGAAGACAAAGAAACATTACATGCAACTCCACAAAAATGCGATTTCATGGGGCAGATACAAGAACATTTCTAAGTTACAGCACAGTTAAATCAAGAATATGGCACAGCTGTAAATCTTTCTGGAGGATGAAGGGGACAAGCAGCTCTGTGAGGCTGTTAGGCACTTAGGTACATTGGTATTTTGAATTAAATGCTAATGTCAGCATGCTACCACGTTGACAATGACAATGCTAATGTGCTCATGTTAAGCAGGTACAATGATTACCATGTTCACTATCATAGCTTAGCTTGTTGTCATTCTAACATTTGCTAATTAGCACAACAGCTGAGGCTTGTGGTAATCTCATTAGTTTTGCAAGAATGGTGATGGCACTGGATGGAAAGTCAGAGGATTGCCAAAATCGTCATAATTTATCCTGAGGGGAACATGAATGTCTGCACCAAATTTCATTCAAGCCATTTGCAAGAGCAGAAATAGCTCCCACGCAAGATACAACGTTTAGGTCCTTCATCAGGTAAGAATGGGGAATAAAGAACATTCCAGGCAAATACAGGCAATATCTCCTCCGGTGAGTCCACCTCCCACCAGTTGCTGAGACATTTCTATCAAAATCCTGCTGACACAGAGCGTTCAGCTATCAAGCTCCTCTCCTGTGGAACCAGGTTCCAGTTTGGGTTCAGGAGGTCGACGCCATCAATACATTTAAAAGTAGGCTTAAGACTTTCCTCTTTGATAAAGCTTATAGTTAGGGCTGGCTCAGGTGAGTCCCATGATGCACTGAGCTCCTCTCTCCTTTTCTTTCTCTCCCTCTGTATGCAACCTCATCCCATTAATGCATGTTACTAACTCGACTTCTTCCCTTTCCCGTAGTCTTGTGCTTTCTCGTCCCTCTCCTCTCTCCTCCTATCACTTCCTGCAGGTGTTTCTGGCTCTGGAGCTGTGGAGTCTGGATCTGTGGTTGCGAGTCACATGCTGCCCACGTGTGCTGCTCGACACCCTTTGCTACAATTATTGTTATTATAATCAGTAACATTACGATTATTATCATTAACACTACTGTAAATATCTGTACCATTATCCATTCAGTCGCAACATCACCTTTACTGTCTGTACCTCTGTGTGTATATTGTGTAGGGTGCCTCCCTCTCCTCTCTCTCTCCTTCCATCCCCCTACCTCTTTCTTTCTGTTCCTATCTCTCTGTTCTTCTCTCTCTCTTGCAACAATGCATGCAAACTTCCTGTTTTTTCTAGGAACCATAAGAGGAAATGTTCCCCAACTTGTCTTGTTAAGTCAGAGCTTGAATCTCTACTAGAGTTTGTAACATTCTTGGTAACCTCACCACATCACATGTGGAGAGTACAGCCTCTAGAAAATGTGTATTTACTATCAACAAAATATATTTTTGTGTGTGGTCTCAGTCTCTGTGGCTGGCATATTTCCTTTATGGTTGTATCCGTTGCAGAGAGGCATCCCAAGAAGAAATCTCTGAGAGGAAAATGGTGCAATATGGCTTCTGGGTGTGGCAAAGGAAAAGATGAACATTTCACGTGACTAAAGTATGTGCAGCTGAACTGACATGATTATTAGTCTGCAAAACAATCTGAGCTGCTTTCTCGCCACATTTGGGGCTTTGTTTCCAGCCAAATACTCAGACACCTTTCATTATTCAGCAGACCATCAGGGCAAGATAGTCTCTGGGCGTTACGAGTAACTTACCAACTATAAAAACAGGGGATTCCTTCGTCCTTCACAAAGTTAAAAGAAGTTGCTGAAAGAAGGGAAGGCCGGGGAGGAGAAGAAGGGCAGGTCCCAGGCTGTGGTTTGAGGTTATCCTGAGTCATAAGGGAACCTCCTCTTTTCCCTATGGAAAAACTGACAGGGTAAAGCCACATGGAGACAACTCACCGCTGCCAGTCACTTTACGAAAAACAGCTGCCGTGCAGAGGGGGAAAACAGTTTTTATTAGTCATATATAAAGAAGCCATACCAGTGTTCCCTACTGTTTTTCTCCAGGTGTTTTCTGTGTTCCTATGGCATAAACTGTAGAGGCAGCATATTTTCAAATTAAATATATTTAGCTTATTTTGAAATTCCATTATGACTTTATGAAAAGGCTACATGACATTCAAAAGCTAATTCAAAAATAATTACATAAGCCTGACTGAAATCTTATGATCGCGTCAGTGCAGTTAGTGTTTGTGTTTGTTTGTTGAGTGTGTGTGTGTGTGTGTGCATATTTCCCCGCCAATGCTGTTACTCAGAGTCATGTGAAATGTCACTGCAACCACACCCAGACAACCATCCTTCCCTCTGACACCACAGAAAATCTTCCTACAAACACCTATACACTAAGAATGCAGGTACAAGTGTGTGTTTTATGGTCCTTCCATGCTACATTATCTTTTCATTTTTAAGATATGAATCCAACTGCTACAGGTAGTGCTTGAGATCTATTAAAATGTGTGAAAGGAAGGATTATTAAAAATACTAAGACTGACACTGTGTGGCAGGAGGGCATAACTGCAGCATCAAAGAACACAAAGGACAAAACAGTATGAAAAGAAAATAGAAGTTTATTGTGAATTCTGAATCCTGCTCACCCTTCCACAGTAGCAGAAAGACAACATGGACAAACATTAGTTAAAATCTGGACACAAATACAGTTTCTCTTGTATCATGAAATCCAAAAACAATCTGTTCCAGTCACACAAAAGTGGAGAGTGAAGAGGGAGGGGGGGGATCTGCCCCACGGTTTTAGAAACAAACGAACAAAATAACACAAGCGGCTGGTGGTCTGTCTGTCTCTAAACCTGAACATAAATAATGAAGCTGTGGAGAGACACCAGTAAGGTCAGTGCAGTGGTGGAGTGAGCTTAAGGATTCAGATTGTCTAAATTCCTCTTTCTCTGAGTCTCCTCCTTGGTCTTTACAGGAACAGTTTGACATGTAGGGAAATATTTGCTTTCATGCAGTGTTACACAAGACAAATTATACCTCTCTCTACCACCAGCAGACGTTTAGATTTTAGCTTAGCAAAGAACGTGAAACAGGGAAAAGGCTAGCCTGGCTTTGTCCACCTGACAAAACTCGCCTATCAACACATTTAACGTTCACAAGTTGCCTTTATTACTTATTGTCTAGTACTTTTCTTTTACTGGGGATCATGTGCCGGACTATTTCTTGACTCGGAAAGGTACGATAACTTCCTGGAGTCAGCACTGGTTTTATGGCAACAGCTAAGCGGCACATAAATAATTGTTTTTACATTTCGGTTTCGTACAGATTAAACAAATGACAACGGGGTTACGTGCCAGTTAGCAGATATAGAAACTCAACAAACATTATATACAAACAAATATTAATGGTTTATTTAATCTGTATAAAACCGAAGCTTAAAAACTACATGCAGTTTAGTACCGGTTCGGTCTTGACTGGGACCATAAACTTCGGTTGCAGCTGTTAAGCCCCCATAAAAAGACAAATAGTCATTTTTACACTTCCAGCATTGTACAAACTAGAAAACTCGATATAACTAGTTAATTAGTGGCTAATCAGAGGTGCTGGTAGGAAGTTTCCCCCATTTCCGATCTAGCTACCTTTCTATGCTTGTTATCGCGATAGCTTCATTACCGTAGAGTGGTAAGAGTGTCATTTATTCTCTGCCAAAAAGCAAATAAGCATTATTTCCCAAAATGTCAAACTATTTAGTTAAAGAAGATGAAGCTACGATAGAAAAGGGGGGATTGTAGCACAGGTTATATTTTAAAAGGTAACGTTACCAATACAGACCGCTGTTTGACACACCCACAGACAGCTGGAGTAATGACACAGGCTGCTTACAATTGTCTGAACGATTCGTAAATGCACGTAAGTTTGATCTATTTCTACTTTACCTCCTCTAAGGGCAGATAGAGGAAAAAAATAAAAATTATGTTGCTTGTGCCTCTCGAACAACAAATAAAAAAACAATGTGGGTGTTTTCTCTGAATCTTAAGGCAAATCCAACAGAATGTGTTGTGCAACAACACAAAGCATTAGACAAACCAGTAGCCAATTATTTTTTTCCTTTTACAAATGAGTGATACTGAAATATCCGAACTGTCTCTGTGAGTGCCAGCCTGAGTGTACATGCATTGGGAGGAGGGCATTTGGGGGGAAAGAGGCTCCAAATAGGGGGGTTTACCACCACTCTTTACCAAACTGTGCCAAATACAGAACAAACACAGAGCCATAGGTAAAAACTGACGCAGTCATTGCACTTTCAGCTTTCCACCCAACACCCATCAGTGTGCTCGTAATGTGAGCGAACAGCAGGAGCAGCGTGGAGCCCCTGTATTGTTCAGCTTCCTCTTACCTCCCCTCCTATTTTTGGCACTGATGAGTTTGGTAAGGTATGTGCATGGAATCCCAAGTGTGTGGATGCATTTATGTATTTTGTTTGTATGTATGCGTGCAGGTGTTTGTTTGTGATCATGGCTATGCAGGTTTTTTATGTCTCGCTCACACCTCAAAAATCTTTACACTTTTTCCATTTGCCCTAATCTAAACCAAAATAATACAGTCTTCAGGGTGGGGAGGGGGCATCTGAAAAGCTTTGTAAAATGCAGGTGACCGCTCCCCTTCTGGAGATAATTCTTTCCTGTCATCTCCCTCTCTCTCTCTCTCTATGAATCTTCCTCCTCCTCCTTTGTCCTGGACCCTCTAGCGGATGGCCTTGACGGGGCTCTTGAAGCTGGAGGCGGCTTGCAGCTGCAGCTGGTAAGCCATGGGGTGGATCTTGAACCCGTACAGCCTGGAAAAAAAAGAAAGCAGCGAACAAATGTGAGCATTACTTCTGACCACGGTTTATGCTGGTTAACAAACATGATGAAAAGACCAGAGTCTGATGAGCTGTTGACAATGTGATCAGTGATGTATTTGCTTTTAGGGAGAGAGCAGTGATGTATAATTATAAGCTCTCACTGTTTCCTACCATGCCACCCTAACTGATGGCTCACAGACGTAAATAGACGTCAAAACTTAATGAAACAGGATGCAGGAAGAGGATGAAGGTGTGTGAAATAAACAGATGAGATTGCCATAAAGTGATCAGAAATCTGCTGAAATTTAAACAGGTTAAAATGGTTTTAATGTTTTTCTCATCAGCCCAAATCAAATATTGAGGTTGGACTATAGAAAAGCTTCTAATAAACTGAGACACTGCAGAGCTGTTATCGATTAACTGATCGACATGAAAATAATTGGCAACTACTTTGACAATAGATTAATCATTTAAGTAAGTTTTCAAGATAAAATACCTTTTAAATCTCTTTTCTTTGTCTTATCTTTACATCTTGATCAATTGTGGAAATGTTTTAGTTGCAACCCTGAAGCTCTCTACTTAAAACTAATCAAATGGCCTAACTGTGACTAAACTACACTTAACTAAACAAACAAATGAAGTGTAAAATTTCAGTGTTAACACTGCCCACGCATGTATGCTACTGAAAGCACAAATATTAATTTTGGACATGTTCAGATTTTAATCAGTTCAGCTACAAAACACAAAGCGGTCATATCTAGAGTGTGACTTGTTCACCGAAACTGCACTACATCGCACAGTAAAGGTATTTGATTAGGCAATACTGTTGAGTGAATGGCACGTGAACACATGGGTATGTGTTCCAGAAGCCTGCAGGTTTCAAATTAAAATAACTAACATAATTTGAAAACTACCACCAGCCTACAGCATACGGCTATTAGTTTAGATGCTGTGACAAATATTTAACATCCTCTGATTGGTGGACTCATCCCTGATGATGTGTACACAGAGTTATTTCTATGGTGAGAATAGTTAAGACACAGCGACACAGCTCTAGTCTATGAGAGCACGCCTTCATGTTCAACCTGCTGCACTAACCTTGGGACAAACTGGTTGGCGGGCCTCTTGGGCCTGTACTCAGGGTGAACCATGAAGAGCATGTGGGGGAAGCCAGTGCCAAAATAGGCTCCATCTGTGTGGTGGTGCCTGGAGGACTTGGGCGTGTAGACGTCCATGCATTTAGGACAGTACAGCTTCACCATGGCCTCCCCTGGGATGTCTGACAGACCTGTGGAGGAAGAGGAAGAGCGACAGAGGAAGGAAGAAACTGGCTTAGATATGAACTCAAGTGAATCTAAAATATCTCCGATAGAAACAGCGCAGACTTACATTGGAATGCTTCCTAAAGCACAAACTATTCCTAAATTCCTTCCTGAATTTCATTCAACATTGATTTTATCAATGTTTGTCGTCTTCTTTTCTAACTTTAACTTTCACGTGTGTGATTTTTGGTTCTATACGTAATTTAAACTAGACTCTTTCTAATCATGCAAGCTGAGAGTTTTGGTAAACCACTGCACCGTCCGCAGCAACTTCATAGCAGCTATGTTTACACCCGGGACCAGCTGATCGCGCTGAAGCCGACCGGGGCGCCCGGGCCCACAGACATCCCCACCGAGATCTGGAGGAGGACACACAGAGGTTGCAGAGGAGGAACGAAACGGCGTGGAAAGAGAGAGGGGTCCAGACAACAGAGATTAGGAGAAGGAGATTTAAGCCGTGTCTCCCCTCTCTCATCATGGGCAATGTGAGGTCACTGGCTAATAAGATGGACGAGCTAACAGCGTTAGCCCGGAGTCAGAGGGAGTTCCGGCAGTGTAGTTTAATGTGCTTCACGGAGACTTGGCTACAGTCGGATATATACCTGACCACAATGTCTCCATCGACGGCTTTCAGACTGTTCGGGCCGACAGAGATTTCCCCGAGAGCAGTAAGCGTAAAGGCGGGGGGCTTGCCGTTCTAGTTAACAATAGATGGTGTAATCCCGGTCACATTACAATGAAACAGCATATCTGTAGCCCGGACACCGAACTGCTTGCTGTGGGACTCCGGCCATATTATCTGCCACGGAAAATTTCACATGCCATCATTGTTGCGGTTTACATTCCGCCCTCTGCCAACCCGACATCGGCGTGTAACGTCATCCACACCGCCATTGCTGAACAACACGAGGGAGGTCTGGAGCGGCATGAGGAACATCACTGGCTTCAGACCGACTGGCAGCAGAGGAGTTGAGGGCAGCTTGGACAGGGCCAACGAACTTAACCTGTTCTTTAACAGATTTGACTCAATGGCTCGCGCCCATCCCCCCCACTAACTCAACTGCTGTCTCACCTGTAACACTGGACTGGGCCAAGAACACTCAAGCCCTCTACTGGAAGGGCCAAAGCCATCTCTATTTTCTGAGGAGGCTGAGGTCCTTCAACATCTGCAGGACGATGCTGAGGATGTTTTATGAGTCTGTGGTGGCCAGTGCTATCCTGTTTGCTGTTGCATGCTGGGGCAGCAGGTTGAGGGTAGCGGACGCTAACAGACTCAACAAACTGATCCGCAAGGCCAGTGACGTTGTGGGGGTGGAGCTGGACTCTGTCGGTGGTGTCAGAGAGGAGGATGCTGTCCAAACTGCATGTCATCTTGGACAATGTCTCCAACCCACTCCATGACTTGCTGCTCAAACTGCTGCCTGTGGCCATCAAACTTTATAACTCCTCCCTTTAAGTGTCTGACACTTAGTTATTAAACTAGACTTCATCTATTTTCTGTCCAATATTACCTGTCTAATAATTAATGTGCAATATTGTCTGCTGCTATTTATTCACTTGTCCTTTTTGGTTAACCATAATAATTCTTAATAATGTAAATATTGTACATACCCACACACCTTTATATTTGTCTATTTTTTATATTTATACTATTATATTTATATACTCTTTATCTATCTACCTTTGACAAGTGCAATTGTGACAAAAGAAGTTCCCCTCGGGGATCAATAAAGTATTTCTGATTCTGATCATCACATCCATGTAAATTTAGATTTGAATAGCCAGATTTGGTGTCGCTACTGAAAGAAAACCTACTGTGCCCTTAATCCACTGATGAAAGTGACAAATTAGAAGACAATATTTCAAATTAACCAGAAAAATAATTCCTGACCAGGTGAAAACAGAGCTTTGTAAATAAGCTGCTGAAAAAGCACCATATATGTTGTGAGTACAGAGATTCAGACATTCCCAAAACATCACTCTAAAAGACCACCGCGACGTGCAGTTACATTTTGAAGAGGTGCGCGTCAGGCCACCGTGTAGGCTAAGGCGTAGGCTACGGGCTACGTATAGGCTATGCCGTTGATTCGAATAAATCAGCCTTCAGAGAGCAGTGTCCCAGCGCTGACCTGCTGCAGATATTTTACAGATGCAAAGCCATAGACAGACTGTAGCTAAATTCCCAGATAACTTTCTTTGATCCATTGTGTGTGAAAAACTTTATGTAAAATTATATGTTGTGTTCATTACAAAGGTGAACAAAGACTAATGCACCTGTGGTGACAGAATGTATTACTATCATATAAACCACATCACTTAGTAGCGATGAACCAACATGTGCTGTGTTACCCTGTCTTGTGTAAAAAGTGGGTGATACTTCTTTAAAGCATGGGGGGTAGGTGTATGTATGGAGAGAGAGAGAGAGAGATTTTTTCCTCCTCCTTCTACTCACCAATAGGAAGCATAGGCTGATTCTCACAATAGACTCGGGGGCAATAGCCAAAATCTCCCTGTTGATACTTCTCCAACTGTAAGTGATCACAGGATATAAAACAGTCAATAAAAATAATTAGGCGTTAGAGTTAGCATATTTCCCAAAATGTTGACATATTCTTTCAAAGCAGGATTAATAGCTGTGTGTTAAGAGGTGGGCAGAAAATGTATCTGCAACTGTTTTGACGATTGAATAGTTGCTGCAGTTTTAATGATATGCCACCCTCGATTAATCTGCCGATTATTCAATCAGTCAATTTATCGATTAATTGTGTTGTCCATAAAATGTCAGAAAACTTTTGATAGCTTATTTATTTGACTAACAGTAAACTGAACAGCTTTGGGTTTTAGACTATCATATTATTATTTATGACAAAGAAAAGCATCAAATCCTGACATTTGAGAAGCTGGAACAAGCAAATATTTTGGCATTTTTGCTTGAAAAATAACTAAAATGATTAATAAGTTATTAATATAGTTGCAGTATCTGTCGGATCCATGTATTAATCATTTGCTTTATTTTCAAACATAAATGCCAAGAACTTGCAGCTTCCAGCTCCTTAAATGTGAGAATTTGCTGAATATCATAAGAACAAATTTTCCATTCTAAAATCCATGCCACCAGACTTCTCAGTAGATTTTTTCAGACCATATTTGACATTTGAGTATAAATAGCTAGATGTTTATTCATGTAAATAAATGTTTTTAAAATCCAACTGTTAACATCTACGTTACATTCTGCAGCCCTGTTTATTCACAGTGTCCATGGAAACATTGATGCACACAACCATAAAGGTTTGGTTTCCTTACTCAGAGAAGATCCTTCTAATGAATACATCAATGCATTCATAAATATTCAGACACGCTTAATGCATTTTATTGCTGTTTAATATGCAATTCAAATACATTGCTGCATTTTCCTTCAATGTAATTTGGTTGCGGATGTCCCGATGTGGTTCAGTTATAATGCAGCTTTACAGTCAAATTTAAAGGTTGGGAATTTCCCATTTGAATCCTCCAAGTGTTCCAGGTGCACAACGCCAAACATAAAGAAAAAACAGGCTAACTGTGACAAACTTGATTGTATTTACACAGTTGCAGTGTCCTTGGTGTCAATATGTGCCTCTGTGGTGACAGCCCTGGAACATTTTCATTCGGAAATTATGACCTCCAACTTTGACTGGAACGCAACATAAGGCACTCCATGAAGTCCTGCGCAGGGAGGTGTAGAGGCAGCTCTGCGTAGGAGTGTGCCTTCAGTCGCACGCAATACTTCTTGCCTTGCTTTGGCACGCACTCTCTCTCACAGTTAAACACTAGGTAAACATTTTGGCTACAATGGCTGCCTGCTCCAAATGCTATGAAAAACACTCGTATGATCAATACATTTCTTCAGATTCTGAATTTTATATTTTAGAAAACAGAATAGGGGCCGATATTTTTCCAACTGCAACTAAAAATGATTTTCATTGTCGATTAATCTGTTGATTACTTTCTTGATTAATTGATTAGTTGTATGGTCTATAAAATATCACAAAATGGTGAGAAATGGTCGATCAATTTTTCCCAAAGACCTAGATGACATCCTCATATTGTCCCATCCCATTTTGTACACAACCAAAAGATATTCAGTTTACGGTTACTGTTAGGAATATATTTAAAACACGACCGTACAATACCTCCATCTACTGTTTCAATGTTGAAATCGGATGCTGAACGAAAAATCCAAACTTACACAGTAATAAATCTATGGAAGGACTGCTGTTAACTGTTAACCATCAAGTATATGCCCAGGTTTACAGGTACTGAGCTGCCAGAACTGTGACTGACAGCCACTTGCTGGTCCAAGTCCATCCCAAGTTTATTAACTTTCCTATTCCTTCCTTAAAAAGCCAACATTATCACCCCTTTCACTGAATATATAAAGATGTGCAGTGTTTAAACTGACAATTTCCATCTCATATGGTGTAAGTAATTTCCCACCCTGTCAACAAAAAAATTCTGGAAAAGCAGATTCCCTAATGCAGACAGGCCTAGTGGACTTTGCTGGAGCCTACCATCTGTGCGATGCCTCGGTTAGTGAGGATGTAGCGTGCGTGGATGAGGCCGTACAGCATCTCAGCTGCCTGCTCGATCAGGTCACTCTGGTTGGGATTGTCCTCCAGCTCCTCATCTGGAGACAAAAGAGAACAGTACATTGTTGGTGTTCATGTTTCTTTTCAAAGTTTACAGAGATGAAAAACTGTGTAAGAGTCTCAACAGGACAGGGAATACGAAAAAAATACAACGAGAGTGTGCTCTTGTTCGATATACTGTAAAAGAAATTTAAAAAAATAAGGACAAAACAAGTTCTGAGGGAGTCTGAAGAGCAGTTGCAGTAACTCACATAGTTTCACATATCCAGTGAAAATGTACAATGACTTAAGGGGGGGAACCCTGTACTGCTGGAGTTGCAGTATGACAAATCATCTGAAAAGATAAGAAATAACCTGCACAGAAACTGAGCAGGCTAAACAGCCTCAAAACCAAAGAATGCTGTGATGAAATGTTAATTTTTATTTATTAGATGGCATGTGCAACAGTGCTCAATATGACGGAATAAACAGAATAGTAGCACACGTTACAGTCAGGCTCACTAATGATAGTCTCCTGAATGAAAGAACCGCAACTCCTTTACTCTTGCCTCTTTATGTCTGTTACACATGTTAGCTTGTAAATGAAGATCAACATCGGAGCAGCGTTTGGGATGGTTGTCTCTCCCCTCTAGCCAATTATATCTAATGTACTGTGTACACTGTTGATATGTGTATCAACATAAGGGAATGTAACCAGTGCTAAACTAAATGTGGAGGAGGTGTGAACACGATATACCGACCTGGTTCAAGGTCCAGGATCATGTCTAGGGCCTGGCGGTAATGGGGAACCTGCTCATTGAGCCCCGTCAGGTTGAACTTGTCCTGGATGTAATCTTCATCCACCTTTAGTTGGAGAAATTGGATAAGAAAGCGGAGTATTCGGTAAGAATTTAGAAGAAGCGTGGAATTTACCGGAAAGGATATGTTCACATTTTCTATGCCATAAGGTACGCTGAAAGTCATTAGTCACTGTAATCCTTCCTCCTGAACACACTGGAAGTGAAGAGATCCCTTCCATAGAGTTCAAAAGCCTTAGAGTCTCACACAGGAGTAATCTCTTCAGGGCCAGTAGGAACTGGAGTAATGATTACAGTGATCAATATCTCTTTTAGTTTACATATAGTAGTGAGAGCATTGTTTTAAGCTTGAAATGTGGTGAACACGCAGTTAGAGCATGATATGGCTGAGTCCTGATCCAGGACCATGTTACTGACAGTACTTTGAAAATATAAATTCATTGCATGGTTAGAAATCTATCTAGCAACTCATAGCAAAAACTATGTCAAGCAAGTGTAATTTAATAAAAAACATGATTTATTTTTAATTAAAGTGTAGTGTAAACTCAAGGACGCGCATGACCGCTTTCTTGGTTGTATTAACTTTAATGGAAGAAATCTGGAGTAAATTCTTGTATTTGTTCATTTAAAAACGCTCCACACAAATTTTTTCCAAGCTTGGACACACCGAGAAGAAGTTAGTTTTTTTCATTTATAGTTCTCCTGTAACAGGTTTTATGTGAATGAGATGAAATGTCTGAACTCTTGGGAGATATTCATGCAGGACCTGATACAATATTTACAGTCCTGGGATCAATGTTTGATCTGGCTGTGTGTAGTGAAATAAAGAGTAAGAGAGATGTCAATATGGACCTCTACTCGACTCACTACTGTGTATAGTAATTTAACTTCATTTTGATATGTCACTACATGGACAGCATAGCAACAATTAAAGTTAATATCCACAGACAGATCAGGCACTGTATAAGGCAACTCACCTCACAGAAAAATTCATTGCCCCTCAGGCCACAGAACCAGGAGATCCATGACACTTCCTCTGAACTGCTCATCTCTGAAGACCTATCAAAGAGGTGAAAATACTCAGTTATGATCCAGATATCAACCCTGAATTTACTCTCTATAACCTGATACTGAAACTATAATAACCTTACGTTACAGTGTTAAATAAATTCACACATTCAAATGGTTAAATTCTTTCTCAGTATTTTCTCAATGTTAGATCTTGTTAGATCTTGTCTCTAGATATTGTGGGAGTGTTACGCCGTAACAACATAACTGTTGTTGGCCAATCCTGATGAAAGCTAACAGGCTAACTAACGTTAGCTAGGGGTGTCTCAACATTGTTAGTTTTATAAATACATATGGACTAACTTACATCTTTTTTTAGTCTTGAATGCGCCAAAAACGTTTGTTATTAGTGATACATCCAACCTGAAATATATGATGTAGTCATACGCTACGACAAACAGTTAATGTAGGCAAATGTTAGCCCGCTAAGCTAAACCCAGCTAGTGGTTAGGACCCAAAATGAAATTCAATATGGCGCATCGTTAGAAAATAGGCCTCATGACAAAGATTAGCTCTTTTTTGGAGCTACCTCTGCCTCTGCGATTACAAGTATACATATGGTAACGTGAGCAATCCTGCCAACTTACCCGGCTTTCAACTTTTATACTCCTGAAATATCCGACAGATCAAAAATTTAGCAATCTCACCGGTGTAAATAAGATGGACACCACCTCCCAGTTCACCCTCTAGGTTACGCTTTTCCTCTTCCTCCCGAGACTCGTGGGCCGCGTACAGCGCCGAAGACACAGTACTGCCGCTCACTGTTCGTTTTGAATATTACACATTACTTAAAGTCGTCAAATCACTAGCACCTGTAATTCCATCGTTTTTCCCTTCTTTTCCAAGAAACTGTATCAGGTTTGTTGTTATTCTTCCTTCCGAATAACCTCCGACATCATGGTGGTCAGAGTCAGTTGACAAACAGGAACTTCGATCATTTTAAACAGCGTCCAGGTTTGCTTGGAGGTCGTCTCACTGGTCTGATTTCTAACAACCTAACATGCTTGCTGCTTGGCAATTTCATTTATACCTCCCACTTACACAGACTGATATAACTACAGAGCAATAACATTATGTTTGAAAGTAAAAAGATGACAAAATTTTCAGTCATATAAATTGAACTGAAACACAAGGGCTTGGACTGAAAACGCACATTTACCAATTTAAGTGTGTAGTATACTCTGGAAAATTGTTGTAGGTAATAGCAGTGGTTCTCAAAAAAGGAACCATAAACTTACACAAATTAAAACCACAGATCCCCATTCGATAAGATTTTATCCCAGGGTCGCCCATCTGAAAGAGTTTCTACTTTTAAGATATTTTACTACAGAACTTGTATGAAACCCATGACCAAAACAGTAATATATTCTGTCATTGTGTTACTTATAGATGGAATTATAGTGAAAATAAAGGATTCCCCTTTTTGCTGGAGATCCAAAGTAGTCCCTTGACCCTACTTTGAAGAATTGTAAATAGACAACAAACAAGCAAATAAGAATTACACCAGGGTACTCAACTTTTAACTATTTGACTTCAGATATACCATTCCATCTGCCTTTGTTTAATTGTAAACCATACAAATATACAAAATATTACGATTTATAACAGTTTTGGTTTCTCTATATTTTCGGCACTTCATAAAAATAATATCATACCATCCTTTAAGGTGTCAACATACCTAAAAACGGGCTATATATTTTAGAACATGGAAACATTATTCCACTTCTTATTACATAGTAAGTTAGGCCGCAGATTGCAACATATTTTTATCTTTTTACTAAACGTTGGTTAGGTAATATTCCCGATGTGTGTGGTAACTGGCTAGACTTAAAGAAATAAATGTCAGGACAAAGTTCAATAGATTCCTTTTGTGGAAAATATTTTGTGAAAACACAGGTTTAACTAATAACATTAATTATGGCCACATTCCATGCCGGTGTCACTCACCTACATGGAATGCAACCATCATTATTAGTTAAACCATTGCTTTTCCTGCTGTGACATGTTAAAACATGTGCAACGAAGACAGCACTTTTATCTTGCTTTAATTGTTTTCCAAAATATTCCACTTCATCTACCTGAGAAGAATGAGACATGCGATTACATTTTCCATTAAATCAAAAGTAGTTTATTTAACTTTGCCTTCTCTGTATAACTTTATTATAATAAGACACTTCTCTGCTTGTACATTGCTCCCTTGAACTAAAAATGGCAACATTTGTTTGTGGGAATGTAAGTTGGGGTAGACAAAACTTAAGATACATACCAATATACATACATACATACATACATACATGTGTGTATATTACGGTTCCATTAATAAAACCATAAATGCTATAAAACAGTTTGAACCACTCCAGGTACCTTGGTAATGCTGGAAACAGAGTACAATCTTGAGTAATTTTTTCTGGCATACACCACTTTTGTTTTCTTTTAACATGGGTACATAAAAATAATGCGCACATCAACATTAAGAGTTAAGGAGGGATGAAGGACTCTTTGAGCCAGTGTTAAATGTACAGCTATCAATGTATAAACCAGTAACAGGCAAGGCAAGCTCCACCTATGGGTGTGTCCATGCTTTGAACAAGTCATAGTGAAAAATACATTATGTCCAACTTCACTTGCCTGCTGAAGAATGTATGCTTCAATTACCCCAAATGGACTGGCAAAGTTCTCCACTGCATGTTCTTCATTTGAATGATGAGCATATACACACACAGCTGAATGTATATATGTGGATGTATTTAAGAAACGGTAGAATTGTCTTAATTATGGTTAAATCAAGTGTGGGCAAACAAGGCAGAAAAGTGCTTGCCATTCATGTTAATAACCCTTCTGGTCCCCCACCCCTTCCCGAGTTATTTGACGCCAGAAAACGCACACATACACACAAGCACGCACGCACATACATGAATCAAATGCCCTACTCACAACATCCCAGAGACTATCTTCAAACTGTCAGTAAACAAACAAACCCCAACTTACAGCAGTGAAAGAACTGATGCAGCTGTGTAAATCAATTGAGTTCACACTGGATGTCGTTTCCGGTCATTTTTCAAGCTGTGTGCCATTTTATGTCTTTTACGTATGATACAAACGGTGTTTATAAGTGTAATCCTACATCAATCCAATATTTTCACAACACTCCATGTAGGCATAATCTGTTGCGAGTGAAATCTTGGAAACCGTGTGAACCGCAGAAGGTGACACTTTCACCCTTTCAGCATTGTCCTGAATTCAATTAGTGTGGGTTACTGGTTACCACCGTGTGCCGAAACAGACATCCCGAGAACACGCTTTGAAAAAAATACTTCCTCAGACATTGAGCTCTTGGTAGTAGTCCTTTCTTTGTGTGAGGAGTCTCCACAAGAGCACAGAGGGGGGGGGGGGGTGTAATAGTACAATACTCAGCCTAGCTCTGTACTCTGGGCCCAGACAGAGTACCTGTCCTGTTGCATCACATGTAACTCGCCCAAAAACACAACGAGTGGGGCGGGGGAACAGCAACCATTGATTTTTGTTATACTACAAGGAGTGCTTATTAGAACATATTCAATTATCTACTGAAGAAAACAATGTTATGAAATCAAACATTTTTTCCTTTATTCCATCATGACCTACATTTTCATTAAACTAATTTCCCCCCATATAATTTAGGTATCTTGAGGGAGGAAAAAAGTGTTGCCATAAAAATGAAGTCACTGAGGAAATAATGGTTGTTAAAATAAAGCCATCAAGCTATCAATAAAGTCTCCATAGGATAAGCAAAACTACTGTGTAAAACTACTGCCCTTTTGAAAACTTAGATTTCTGCAGTGTGCAGAGCTTCTGCAGTTAAGGAGGATACTACGATGAGGCTGAAAAAAACCTTTATTTTCTAAAAAAAAAAAAAAAAAAAAAAAAAAAAACACTAAACAATAGCTGGTGAAATGTTAGAGCAGTTCAACAACTTGGGGAAAGAAAGAAAATAAATCACACCGTCTATCTGAACAAGCAGCAGAAACACTGATATTAAAAATAAATCAATGAAGTGTAGATGAGCACTGAGCAGTAGTACTTCAATGGGTCTTATCACAGTAATCAGATACGTACTTTGCAGGAGACCAAAAAGTCAGCAGAAAGAGGAATTGGGGAATTTAGTAAAAAGGTTTTTTTAATGACCTGCTTTTTTAGAAGAAAAAACACACACCCTTAACATTTCCCAGAGGCTGAAACAAAACTGACACAAGGCCCAAAAAAAAAAAAAAAGAAATAATCAAATCATCATATGTTACATTGTTCTTGTTTAAAAGATGAAGCTGCACTCTTTCCCTTTGTGAGGGAAGTAATGCAGAACTGCACTACTGAATACCACCCAAGGCCAAAGTGTGGTAGAAATATACACAGGTACATAAATATAAAAATTAGCCCAATCCAAACATTTTTTGCCAATTTAATCCCACATTTTGCACCGACATGACTGCATGTGTTCCATGTGTTTGTAAAGATGTCATATTTGTGCTTGTATATGCGAGTGTGTGTGGAGCTCTGTGTGAATGTCTTCTGTCAAAACCACGTGCACCTCCATTGCAGAACCACATGCTTGTCAAATCCAACTTGGGTGAGATTCTTGGGGGGGTACAACTGAACAGAAAGCAAGACTGAACAAAATGGAAAAATTTACAATAACGGACGGTAGATAGTAGATTGATGCAAAGGGAAGAGGTGACCGGGGTGGGGCGCTGAAGTGAATGTGAATACCATCTCCATATGCTGTACAATACACTATGTTTAGGGATGTCAACAGATAAGCCAGCAAATAATTATCAAAAAAGTATTAAGATGTAAGAGGGTGGTTTTAATGTGGGTGGGGTTTATCTGAAATGTTTTGAAATATTTCATCACTTCCTATTTTTTGGCGAGGGCCAGTTGCCACGCTTCTCCCCGCGGTTGCCACCTCCATTACCAGGTCCGCTGGAGCCACCACCAGGCGGGCCTCGTGGGCCTCTTCCTCCCCCTCCACCTCCAGCTCCTCCAGGGTTGACCCTGCGGTTCTGTCGCTCCATGCCAGGACGCTGGCTTGAGAAGCTTCTTTTGTTAGCGGAGGGCTCTTTTCCCATCATGTCGCGCTCAACTACACCTCCGCTGCCACCTCCTCCCCTTCCCAGGTGGTGGGGATGGTGAGAAGAATATGACTTCCCTCCTCCTCCCTCCCTGTCTCTGAACTCTGTGAAGTCGCTGCTCTCAGAGGCGGTTTCCCACTCCTCGTTGGCCTGGTCCGAGTTCTGGTTGGTGAAGTCAGGGGACTTTGCTCCATGGCTGCGGTGGTGCTGGGTGTGTGTCGGCCCTGCGTTGCCCTGGTTGTAGTGGTGATGGTGGTGGCTGTTTGCATTGGTAAGATGCCCACCACCACTGTTGTTGGTTGTTACTGTGGTATTGTGGTTAGCATTTTGAGCACTGCCTGTCATGGGAGCAGAGATGGGGGCTCCGTTACTGTCCTGAACTGAATTCAGGGAAGGAGAGGAGGGCCTTCCTCCCCCAATAACTCCCACTCCTCCGTTGATACGTGCAGCATTCTCTCGCTCCTTCAGTCTCCGGAAGCGGGGTGGCTTGTCCTGCTGGTGCTGGGAACGCCCGTGACGTCGACGTCTAGGAGGTCGCTCAAACCCACCTGGAGGGAACCCACGGTTAGTGGGAAGAGGGAGCGCATTTGGCCCTCCAGAGTTTGGCGTAGGGTTGTTTGAAGCCTGCTGGGTTACG